TATTGCTTCTTCTAAACTCAACAAATATATGATTAGTCTTCTATTTTGCTGGTCAATCTAAGAAAGCAGAACTGCATCGCTAATACCGTGCCTTGCTAACACTGCACTTCAGATTTTCTGAGATTCTCTTGGTTTGGTCTAAGAAAACCCTGCTGGCCCATGCCAGTGTCACCTTTGCGTGCCCAAAATAGAAAGACCAGTCATCCACATCTTCTGTCTACCCTTTCCCCCTCATATCAGGCAAGTCAAGGGACTAGTCCCCCACACCAGAACCTAGAACTGGTGGCTCTTCAGCACCCCTTGATTCCTCTCCCTCACTAACAACCCTGTTTGCCTTTGAAATGCAATTAGGTGGGTTCCTCCTCCCCACCCCCCCAAATGCTGAACAGCCCCAGCTCCCCTTCACATAATGATCATTACTACTTTGTCTTTTCACTGTTCCATTATCAAGTGTATGAGATACTCTAATTAGCTCTAATAAAAGTAATAGAATAGGATTTTGAGTCAAGATGAATCCATGACTCGAGTAACAGAACACGAAATAATAATTTAGGCCAATCACCATTGTTCAAAAGTAGTTTCGAAAATAAAATACCATGTATTTCCCACCCAATTATGTAATAGTAAGTCCTTTAAAATGAAGGGACAGAGAGCATCAACCTAACAACTGATAAGGAAACTAAGACAATCCAAGGAAAAATAACAATTTCTAAAAAGCTTTGATTTTATGACTACTAGTTAACTCTGAGAGTTGATCTCAACCATTTAAGATTAGCTTAATTTCATGTTAAGGTGTTTGCAAACAATTTTATACTACTTTTGTGCAAATCTCTTGTTAAATCCGGTCATACAAATACTGGATGATTTTTAAAATCACATTTTCTTTTAATAATGCTATTAACACAGCAGTAATCTTCTTACATACAATTATAAGTAATCCTGGGGTTTGCTGCTTTAGAAGTATTTTCAATACAAAACTTTTAACAACTAGAGAAATGTAGATGCACCCGTGCACACCAGGAAAATTCTAACAGTTTGCTGGTGTGCTACCTTGCTATTTGTAAGCACAGACTTGATAAACTAAATAATTGCAAAATCAAAGTTTTAAATGTCAATTTAATGAATGGTGTTCTAAATTTGGGGTTTTGATGCTAATGTTGGTAATCTAAAGATTAAATTTCAAACTATGCTTTTATATATGCTCCATTACAATGGAACTTTGGAAGCATTGGCTCTTTGGTATAAATTAATTTGAATTTGCTTTTAGACCATAAGCACAGTTCATCTTTTTTGGAGAGCGTTGGGCATCACTAACGTTTGTGGTTAGAAAAAAAAATTAAGGTAGAGACACTAATTGAGAGAAGAATAACAATTTAAAACAAATAATTATGCAGCTCAGCATCCTGATTAGGGTCCCAGGCCCTGGACCCATTTCAGGAAAGCACTACTAGAATCTTTAAGTGCCATTACAGTCAGTGACAGAAGCCCATTATCAACCTGATCCAAGCCTAAACTGTAGCTGTTGACGGATGTTGACATTACAGTTTGCCAATATTAAGAGAGAGAAGTTTTACAACTCGCCAGGTTTTCACCATCCTGGTAAATTTATCAGCTTATCACAGGGTCAAACGCTCAGTGGAGCCAATGCAAGGACACGTGGCTGAATGTAAAGGAGGTCGTGGCTCCACAAACCTTAAATCAGAACAGGAACTAAAAGGACAGAGACATTTCTGATCATAGCTCTGAAGGGTAGACAGACAAACAGAAACACTACAAGGCAAAGTATGCAAAACTGGAGCAGGAGCAGATTTCAGCACGCATGGTGGCCTCTCCTGACACAGCCTCACCCACTACCAGTATTTGGACTGACCTAGACCAGTAACACAGCGTATTACTTGTATTACCAAGGTAGCCTAGAAAGACACATATCACAAGTACAATGTTAGAAAATCCTGTGAAGTCCAGACTAATATTAAATTTTTTTTTTAAGATGGAAAAAAAAACAGCTGTATTTGAGAAAGTGACGCCCACAATTTAAATCCATACTGGTCAAAGTAGGTATAAATGGAAAGTTAGAGGTTCTCCTTTAACTTGTTCATGCATTTACTTTGGGAAGAACAAGCTAAGCCATGATGAAGCAAATAACACAATTATGCTATTAACACTTTTTGTCCCTCAGGACTATGTGTCTTAGGTCTTAGTACCTTACACCAATCATCCTTCTGGTAACATTTGCTAATTGAGAGCTGGATACCAGGGCTGGTGCTATTATTATTCTGCTACTATTCTACTCCTTCTCTTAAATTGCTTTGTCAGACTTCCGTCACTTGAGACAAGTTCCATTATAAGAGACATTAGGTGTATTTAGGTATTTGCCAGATAATAGAGTAAGGTTCTTAGGCATCAATCTGTACAGATTAGTCTAATCTGTTGCCGCTGGAAACCTTGTTTCCAGCAGTAAAGTAGACAATAGTTTCAAATTACCTGCAATAAGGTTAAGCTATGGGCAGCATATGTTTTGAGGTGAGAAGAAAACCAAAATAGAACTCATGCATTCCCAATGTTGTCTTTACCAGAACAGGTAGGTATCTGAATTGATATTTCAATTTCTCTAAAAACTATTCCTAATGGATTTGGCTCAATTTAAATTGCTTTGTCGATATTCTCTGAAGTATTTTTGAATGCAGGATCCAACAGAAATTCTGTTAATGATGTTATTTCCTGAATTCAACAAAGCATGAATAATTAACATTTCAATATTGGATAAAAGTTTGTTATTTTCACACTAAAATACAATTTCTAGGAGCAAAGTCAAACAACTGAAGATTTTAGGGGTTCTATAAAAATTAAGGCAATGAGCCCATGAAGTTGAAGACACAAACCAGCAAATACTAGTAGTCGGGTTCTAAAGTAATGCAGCTTTTCAGTTATATTTTTCAGAAAACATAGAAATGTTTTTTATTTAAACTCTTGTACCTCAATGTATCATCCAAAATATCAACTAAGGACTGAAGTCAGATCATCCTAATAGGAGACTACATACAATTAAGTTTTTTCTATCACCCCTTTTCTCAAACTTACCTTTCATTCTATAGGACAGCAGATATGGATACAATCATCAAGAAAGTAAGAGCAATACTTGGTTTGCTCACAATATAACAGGTACAATATTATCTCATAAAATCCTAAACTAACTGCATTTTGCAATATATTGCAAACATTGAGCAAAGCTACATTAAATTATCTCTTATAACAACTGAAATGTATAGAGTTGTCCTAAAAAGAACACAACTGAAGGAAAAGCAGAGCTCATTAGAAGAAATATCAGAATCCAAAAATTTCTGGATGCAGTAGAGACAGGCCTTTAAAATTTTAACACCTACCTCTTCTAGATACTATACTGCATTGAAAGTAGCACACCAGAAAAAAAATATCTATTGTCATTTTATTATTATTAAACCAGAAAGTGCAAGTGAAGAACAATCTAACTGTTTTCGCACTACTAAAACACAAGAAAAATCTATGGATTTTTTTTCCTCCCTTTTTTGCTATTTACATTTAGCCTTTATTAATAATGATCCGCTGACTTCCACATCCTTGGTGTCCTAACCAACTTCACAGAAGCAGAGTGTCAGACTGCGAATGAGCCTGGTGGCTAAGGGATGTAGATTGAAGACTTTGGCTTACATTCTTCTCCCAGCGAATATCAAAGTACTTTGTATAAAGCAAAGCTGTTTCCACAAGAAACCTGGAAACCAGAATCACAGCTCAGTGGCTGGGCATTCCTCCAGTGTGGGGTAGTTAGTCCGAGAGCTATAGTCTGAATTAGATAAAAGCAATTTCAATGTCATAAGCACTGATATTTCTTCTCCTTAGTTTTCAGATTTTTTCCATATGTCCCTTTTTAAAAAAATCACATAAAATTATTTGTTTCTTTTTTTTTACTATTGTAAACAGTTTTGTTCAAAATAAAACTTAATTTTCAAGTCAGCCAAGTGGGAAAATCCAGTTAACAAAGCTTTATGTCTAAATTCTTTGGGCTTTAATGGTTCTTTCAGATTTACAGATTAAGATATCATTTCAAGTCAGTGTTCCTGCTGAACTATCAGCCTAACACAAAATGATTTTTTTATATGTACAGATGAGCCCATGTAGAATGTACCTGCAGTAAAACACATGCTGAAGTCTCACTGAAGGACACCAGAACTTTCAGCAGGCACTTCAAGCTCTGCTGAACAAGGAACTGCACAAACCCGTACTTACAGTGTTTCCCACATCACAGCCATCAAGCATTGGTTTTTTTTTTTTTTGTATAAGGCTCTCCTTAGGCATATTGACTTCAGGCTCAATATTAAATATGAGGATAATTAACTTTCATGTACGGTTTGATATAAATTAATTCAACAACCTAAAATTAATGGCAATGATCTGGATACCTGGTCCCAACTGATTTGCTCCTGTGAAATGCTGCATTCTGTCATTAAAAGATAAGAAGGCAACCTCCATAACTGGCACACTTATACTGACAAGAGAGGAGATATCCAAGTATTAAAAAGGCAAATATCCTAAATTAATTATAATCTGATATAAAAAGGTTATAATTTTCAACTTCTTTTAACGAGTTGTTCAAACTTAACAGTCAGTTGAATACTAGACTTTCCATTTGAGATACCTTTTTCAAAAAATTACATTCTTTATGAAAAATCATTAATCTCTGTGAATAAGCTATTTAAACTCTAATGTAACACACAATCTGTTTCATGTAGCAAATTCTATTTTGCATATTATGTATCTCAGACTTCCAACAAACTTTTTTTTTTAAAGCTATTAAGCTTTGTTGTCTTCAGTTAAGCTGCAGGAACTCACACAAGCTGAAAATCTTGTACAACCTAGGGTTTGGATTTTTTTTAACTGCAAAAATACCTAAGCTTTTCTGAAAATACTCATTAAAATATATAGGAAAAGTTCACTTTTCCCACAAAAAGTAGATTATAATAATATTTCAAGTATTTACAGTTTATTTGAATGAAAATTATTATAAACTTTCAAATCTGGGAATAATATCATAATTAATATATCATCGTTACTTAATACAAGTTATGAAAATTCCAGTAATTCTTCACGTTCTATTGTAGTACCATAACAGCAAACCATCCTTCTTTCTAGTCCAGCAGGCTGGAGGTGAAAGTATTTTTCACCATGAGAAACTGAGATTCTCGGTGTGATCTTTTCAGCTTTGCACGACGGTTCTGGAACCAGATCTAAAATTGAAAGAAAAGTCACACTTGTCAGAAATACAGCACTGTAAGCAGAGTAAGCTTTGAAACTTGAAAATATTAACACAACTTTACAGTATTTTCTGTAATGACAGTAGTTTGGAAGTTCAACACAAATTTAAAATCTGCATATGATGGCATGTAGCTATCTGCAACAGGACCAGCCTCACTGTAATGAATATAAAAAATAGTATTAACTTCAATGATACTGAATCTGATCCTGGAAGATCCTGAACATCTGTAATTCACACACAAGTCTTAAGGTGCTATTTCTTCAGCTGCTTAATTAATGGCAGCATCGCTTCCCATCAACCCCAATATAACACTTGCATCAAAAACTAAATAAACATTAAGGTGAGGCCCGAATTCTAATGTTTATGGTGTGCTTCTTATTACATTGGACTATCTGGAAATCAATAATTAAAATCCCTGAGTAGATTTTGCTTTTAATACATAAATGCTTTACAAAATATGTAAACACTCATACAATTTATTTCAGTATTTCTTTCAAATTTGTTTTTCAAATATGGCGACAAGCATAATATAAGCATGATTTTAAAACGTGGAAGCAAATGATCAAGTTTTGTACATGATAACTAGAGATTAACTGAGCAGATATCATGGAAATATTATCGTGATGAATACCTCATCAACACTACAGAAGAAGGATTTCAGGAAGAATTCAATGGCTTCCATTTCACAAATCATTGAAGGCACACCACATGCATAAATGTACATAATTTTAAATTAAGATTATTAAAATTATTGCTACTGCTGTCAAACTACTTATTTATGTAATCAGAGAGTACAGTACATACAGATGGAATTACAGAAAAAAATCAAATACACTTTTCATTACCTGGATTCTGTCTTCATCTAAGTCTAATTTGCGAGCTAGCTCTTCTCTCATATCAATGCCAGGGTAGGAGTTTATTTTAAAAACATTTTCCAAGACTTCAATCTAAGGAGATTAAAACACTTGTTGAATGGTTATCACTGCCTTCATAGCAGTAATAAAGAAAATAAATAGAAGGAACATGCTAGTTTGTTCAACAGGATACTTCCAAGCAGTGTTTGCACGATTCTGATGCTTATGCATAAACACAGGTCTGCTGAAATTAGCAACAATACTGTTAATTTACTAGTTCCTCATTACATTTCTCTCTGAAAAGCTACATCATACCGAATTAGTCAGCTGTTACAGACTTTTACTAACATTTTACTAAACTACATTGTTATTCATCTATTAAATACTGAGAAAATCCCTACCTGGTTTCTAGTGAACGCAGTTCTTGGTCTTCTACCCCTGTACCAGCTCAATTCTCGTTTGAAAGATAGCCTTTCAGTGACTGAAAAATATTTTTCACATTTCAAAACTTTCTCCTCTTGCACGGGATTACTGTTAGCATGAAATAATGGATTTTCATAGGAAACAACAGGGATTTGCAGATGGGGATTACTGTCATCACCTAAAACTAGAAAAAGCAAGCAAACGAGAGCTTCAATTTACTGGTTTTCAGCAGAAACATGAAAATATATACATTTTTAAAGGAGTAAAAGCTTGAGAGGTTACAAAACAGACTGCTGACTTACCCAAGTTGGTGCATGCATCCACCCATGGTCTGTGAGGTTTCACAGCTGGAATGCCATCTTTTTTCTGTTCCAGTCCCAAAATACTTTCAATGGAAAACGAGCACTGTGTGGTTTTACTTTCCACAAACCCAGATACTTTTTGAAGATTCTGAGAGGCCGATGCATTAGCAGCACAGAGGGATGTACTTGCCATGCTTTCACCTTCAGCCAGCATAGCATGTGTACTGTACTTGCATTTCTCCACAAGTCCTCCTTATAGCTATGTTGACAAGGGGGCTGGATTTGCCACGTCATTAATTAAAATCTTTTATTAGAAAGTTTTAGCATGTCAATGAAAACTCTCCCACCAAGAGGCACGAGGAGTTAATTGTTTATTTGTTTGCAAGTAATTAGCAACTAATGGTGACACTAGGGGGGCCACCAAGAGGGACAAAAAGTGTTATCTCTCCTAACCAGAACATCGACTTTACTTTCTCAAAAGAAGCTGTGCACAAATATAGTACTTCTCCTTTATTTGAAATCATTAATGTATAAAATCAGTTTTTAAAAAAAACTTTATACTCTAATGGACTCCACTTACCTAAACATAGCAGCATGATAGGAAACCAGTCAAGTAATAAGTAATCTCATTTAAGTGAATTTCCTTCCAAGGAAATTTAAAAAATAATCTCTTAATGCTATTAGGGTAATCCCGATGAAAATGCCTCTGTTTTTTCATATGCATATGTAATGGTGAACGTGGTCAATAAAACAACAATAGCTTTTGGCATAAGGCACTGTGCAGTGGGTTGGCAATGTTGTCAAAGCTCAGTGTAATTGCCTTCCAAGTGCCTGGATTAGTTAACAGGAACAGTTGCACCAACTATTTTAAATAATTCATGCATTCATTTTTCTTATTAAAATAACTTTGTTGCAGCTTTTTTGAAACATACCATATGTGAAAGTTCCTGATCATTCTTCACAACATAAAAACAAAAGTAACAGAAGCAGTCCACTCAAATTTACTGGTTTTAAAACATCCTTTTACTGATAGATACTCCTTCCTTCTTGTAACTTTATAACCAATAGAAACATTTACATCCTACAGACCGAACACTTAAAATGATAGAAAATCATGAGGAATGGGAAGAAAGGAGGTAAAGGTTTTGTAATGAGTTTCAAAGTTTGAAAACAGAATTCTGATTTCATTCATTATAAAGAAAGTACCAACTATAACATTTTTATATTCAAGCTGGTCTGTCAGCCACACGGCAGTTTATACGTCACATGTTCAAAACCAGCTTTTGGTCCAGGATAACCTCTCTACAGACATTCCTCCTTTTCTTATTTTGGACAAGGCTTTGTTTTATAACATGTAAAAATGAAAACAATATGTTAATTTCAAGATGCAAAAGTTAATTCTCTTAAATAGAACTTTTAATGTGGAGCACATGAGCGTGTAAGTCTATATGCTTTTAGAAGAAAAATCTGGCCCTCCATTTTTTCTTGTTTTACCATTTTCTCAGAGTAGTTGATTCTGTACAATCAGTCCCATTCACATGGCTAACAACTAATATTATGGAAACAAACAGTATCTCCACTTTGATTTTCTGTACATTTGGAACACTGTACAGAAGTACATCACATTCATAATCAGACCAAGACTAATCTTTAGGAATAGACAGAAGCAGGAAAATTGGGAAGGATTTGGCACAGTGTAGAATTGACAACACTGTGCTGAGGGAGATTCTACAGAGAAAAACGCAATCCAGTTGTGGCTTTGTAGCAGAAAGACCTTCAGCTGGAGAATGTTGACTTACTGGAGTGACTTTGTGCTGTGCCATGAGATTGTTGCCAAACCAAACCATTAAACGAGTGACAATGCATGAAGTGATCTTACCAAGGACACCTTATCAGCACGTATCAGCAGATCTTGAAGTGGCATCACTGTAACTGCAATGACCACCTGCAAGCTAAGCTCCAGCCATCCTTTAGCAGCCTCAGCAACCACGAAGTGTAGACATACAAAACAGCTGTATGAATGAAAACACTGCTTGCTGGGATATTTGGTCAACTAGATGTCAGTGGGAAGCAGTGTTAAGCAAGGGCCTTACAGCCCCTGGCATTTCAGTACAGCTGTTCCCAACAAGGCAACCTATCACCTTAACAAAGCAACAGGACTCATTTTCTTGACTCCAGGCAGGTTTTTTTTGAGTATTCAGACTGCACACCAGGTCCAGAGGTTACTAAAGAGATAATGCAGAGTTTCTTATATAGTAGTGATTGGTAGATGAGTTTTCTGGCTCTACTGTCTCTACATGGAACACCAGTTTTTTTAAAAAATAATTAAAAATGCCCACAAAACACATCTAGTCAAAAAGAAAACAATATATCTCCTTCTGTACTGAACTAGGAGCTGTTTACCAATTTCTCTATCCCAAAGAGGTGAAAAGCATGATCACTGATAGAGACAGCCTCTTGAATCTAGGAACTAATGGATAACAACTTTAATAATACAAAAACCCTCTTAAACATTACAGGAGAAACAGCTAGTTTCCAAATACAGCCCACTGATTTTTTTTTTTAAAAGAACTTAAAAAAACACAGCATAAGCACTGATACAAAACATTTCAGAAAATACTTATTTCTCTTGGATTAGCATGAAAGAAATTAAGTTGAGCCACACAACTGAGACTCAGATTACCATATACTTCAAGCCCCAAAGTGGTAAATGCCTTCATAGGTGTTCTCTTCAGGTAGCTATTGAGAACTATCAATAAAGACAGGCACATGTAGTGGTAAGAGAGACATTTATGAGAGGCACGCATCTTCCCAAAGCTAACCATTAAGTTAACTAAGTAATTATAACTTACTTTTAATCTCTGAGATTGTGGAAGATGGAAACAAACCTCTTCAGGGTAGTCTGCTTTTAACTCCCAGTTGGAAATACTCATTCTTTCAGAGTTTTTAAATGACTTTTCAGGGAAAGAGGTATCTTAGTAGCTCTCAAAAAGAATTTTCATAAAATAGGCCAAAACCAGGTAACTCATTTGCTAGGCACAGGTCAGAAGCTCACCAGATACTGCCATCTGGTGTTGAGGTTAAGTTTGTCCCACAACGTTATCGGAGTAAGAAACTGTGTTATTATTGAAATAATCATATTACATTAATTTGTTCAATGTTGAATTTAATCCTATCTGGAGACTGCAATGCATTCACTGAAACATATCAACACTCTTGTTTTTAAACAGTTCATAGCTGCAAGAAGCAGGATCAATTCAGAAGGTCACAAGGTAGAAGCTCACACTATGCTCTCTAACTTCTGAGAAATTCAGTGACATTGAAACACTATGTATCTAAGATAACTTTATAATGCTAATGCAGGTCCACATAACTGTTTGTAAAAATTTCATAGGACAAAGAAAACTAATTTTAAAGATAAGAAGTCTGCATTATACCAAAATTCCATTATATCCCAGAAGTGTTCAAGGTCAGGTTGGATGGGGCTTTGAGCAACCTCTAGTGAAAAACTAGAAGGGTGCTTCCAAACCAAACCATTCTATGATTCTAAAGCAACACATACATAGAGATAAAGCTACTGGAAAGTCTGGCTGAAGGTCTAGCATTCAAGTGTTGCTAGATTTCTTTGAAGAGAAGCCTGCTTAGTTGTAGAAGCTATTTGTTATCAAGATAAACAGTCAACAAACCTTTCCCAAAAGAAACGAGGATGAAAATATATTTTCCAAAAGGCAGAAAACTTAAATTAAGTTTTAGATCCATGAATACCTGGTAGTAAAGAACCAGATTAAATTTCTAAGAATTCCACTGAAAGTGTAAATAGACCTTGAGCCTTCACTCAAAAACTGTATTTTGTTATTTTGACCCATTAGAAATGCCCAATACTTCCCTTGCAACCCACGTGAAATTACCTGGAGTGTTTTAGCTAAACACTGTTGTAGGGGCAATTAGAGAAACACAACAAACATTAGGTTGAAAATCCTAAGTAATCAATAATAGGAGAAATCACTTTGCTTTGAATATGCAAATCCAATCCTCTTACAGCATCACATACTTGATGAGGCAGCAAACTAATCTCCCTTTCAGATTTTGCACTGCTGTTTTTTGCCCAGAGACAGTAAAGTTCATCTATTTAGTAGATGAAGCTCTTGTTCTTTAGAGATGTGAAGCCCTAAGGACTCTGTTTATACCAGTTGAAGAGACCACACCAAGAGTTCTCAGAGGCTTTGGTCTGAAACTCCAATGCTTGCTGTTGCCATCTTTTGCTTTTCTTACCCATTGCTACTCCACTGCCAGGTCACCCTTCACAATAGCCTGTGTAGTATTTTCAGCTTTTTTAAAAGGTATAAATGGTATATATAATCTTTCTTGATTACTTATCACACTCAGAAAAATTGCCTTTCATCTCACCTTTCCCACAGTATTTCACCACCTCAGGTATGTCGCTGCATATAGCTCCTTTTCAAATATGTTTTGAATATGAATAATAAAGATTATATTCAAAGCCAACTTAAAAATTCAAAAGGTTTTTTTAGGCAAGAATATCTTCAATCTATTAACATAAATTTTCACAAAACATGACTAAAAGCAATTAGCTATTTCTTGGCTGAAGTAAAAGCTATTTTGACCCCAGGAGATTAAGTGAACACAGATAAATTCAAGGTAAACCCAAGGGTGGCATTAGCAAAAGTCTGAGAAACAGTGTGTTAAACGGTGGGTAACATGCAAATAAAGCCTACCTTATCCAGACAGCTACTTTCACCCTCCAGCAAAGGAAAAACGTTCTCTCCATTAGGGGACACATCTGGAAGGCTCCAAAGAGACACTGCCTGTTCTTCTCCCTGTTTGCATAGTGCCAAGTGTTAAACCCCACATTTTTAAGGCCTCTTAGTAAGTATTTTGCAGAAGGAACAAAAAAACCCCAACCACTCTCCAAATAAAAAAAAAAGGAAACAAAACAAAAAAATCGCACACTAACAAAAAGCCTACAATGCTAATAAAAGTGTAACACTAAAAACACTTACTAGAGGGTTCAGAGAGATTCTTAAATTCATTGCTATTAAATCATATCTGTTGCTATCAAATCTCTATCTCAAATTTGTATCTGGATGCCTTGTAACATTTGTAAAAAACGTACACAAAAGGTAAGAACAGGACTAGTAATATCTTAAAGAATCCGTCAACGTAAGGGATCTATTAACAAAGCTGATTACTAATTCAAAGAAGCCCTGGTATACTACAAACTTGTTAGAAATGTCCCCCTCTTGCTTCTAAACCAAATTGAAACATTAAACTGAATTGCTAAAATAAACAGAAACAAGACACATTTTTAAGCTATGTGCCAGCGGAGATACTAAAGCAAATTTTTTTTTTTTTTACTATTGTAAACATAGGAATAATTAAAGATACAAGACTTGGTCTTTAAAATACCTTGTAAGATAACTCTGTATTATTACCCTCATATGACAGGGAAAAAGAGAAGTGGTGTGACTTGCTTCAGTCAGGTGAGTCACCAGCTGAGCTGGTAAATAAACTGACTGAACAAAGTTCTAACTTTGAAATTTCCTCACCACTCCCTACAAAAAAAACCCCCAAAACCAAAAAAACAAAACAAAAAACAATCAAATAAAAAGAACCACCTCAAAAATCTTTAATTGCAATTTAATATCAGCCTTTTCCTTCATTTGCTTTGAAAGGTAGAACACGATCCAACACACTGTAAAGAAGGGCTTCCACAGCACAACTGCACAATAGTTAATAATTTTCTCTGCTGTACTTTCTAATGCGGTTTATACTAAGTTCACCTGGCCCCCAAAAGGTAAAACCAGCAAGGGAACAACCTTTTTGGTTTTTAGCCCTAACAATAAACATATCTAAAAAGTTACAGAAATATCATCAAGTAATTTCACAGTTGAACCAGTTTGCAAATTCAAATATGATTTACAATTTGGTTTTTCTTCTGTTAGTTTTAAGAGTGAGAATTTTATGCAACCTCTTGTTTGACACACATTTTAATCTGTTTTTAAATGAATATAAATTTAGCCAGATTAGCAATTTGTACATACTGAACACCTCCTAAGAGGCCTACTCTTAAAATTGAATTGCTTAACCTGCAGGAATAACTTAAAGTACAATAACTGCGGTCAAAACATACTAATCACAAAGGGCAACTCAAGAATATGCTCTTTTTTAAACAGTGCACAATGGTCTGGTTCAATTCCAGCAAGCCCTCAGAGTAGTTTTAAGCATTTAAAATTGGCCACCAACCTATCACACCCGGCTCGTCCACTCTAAGAAAGCAGGGAGTCCATTAGGACTGATTATAACCTTGCTTCTGAAGGGGAAAAAACTGTGGTCAACAGTGTTTTTGTTTTTTTAAGACACAAGCAAGAAAACCAGGTCCTCGGCTGAAGCTGTCACTTGGAAACAAGAAATGCCAGGTAGGGAGGGGCAGAAACTTTTTCTTGATGAAAGCCCTGCTGGATGGTGGAGGAAGACATGAGAGGGATAACAGGAGGCTTCTCGAAAGGGATGCTCCAGGTAACACCGAGAGTGCAGCCGGCGCTCCCCTCACGGCAGGGACACAACGGCCTCGGTCCCACCGCGGTTCTCCCCCAGGCAATTGTCCGTCTGCTCTGAGAAGACAGCGGCATCCAGAGCAAGGACAGACAGGGCTGGGAGGCCACGCTGATCCGTAGCGCAGCATGGAACGGTAAACGCAAAAAGAACAAAACTAAAAAGAAAAAGTTTGCTCGCTTTTTGCCAGAAAAACTTCACTCGACGACCGCCACCTGCCCGCGGCACCGCCGGACACACACCTCGGGGCGGACACGTCCCTCTCTGCCTCCGCCCCGCACTCACCTCCCCGAGCCGGGGGCTGACGGAGGCAGCGGGAGCCGGGGGGCTCTCCCGGGAGGGATCCGGTCTGACCGCCCCAAGGCCCCTCGTTTCTCTCCCTGAGGGGCCGCGGACTGACCGGGGGCACGCGCACCCCCTCCACCCTGAGGGAAGGCGCGCGCCGGGGCAGGGCCGCGCGCGCCCACACAGAGGCGCGACGCACCTCACGGCGCCAACAGCCCCACGCGCGCGTGTAGGCGAACAGATGGACCCGCTCGCCAATAAGAAGCCGGGCAGGCCGGGCGGAAGAACCAATAGAAAGGCCGAGGGGGTGGGGGGCGGAACATCCGGCGCGAAGCGGGGCGGGGGCGGGTGTGTTGTGACTGGGGAGAAGGGGGGGCTCCAGTCAGCTGGGCGCGCTGCGGGGAGCGGGAGCTGCAGCGGCACAGAGTCAGCTCCGGCCGCCGCCATGCCCGGCATCGACAAGCTGCCTATCGAGGAGACGCTGGAAGACAGCCCCCAGGTGAGCGAGACAAGACGCAGCCCGGCGGCAGGAGGCCAGATCGGGCCCAACCCGTGGGCGCCGGGCCTAGCGCCGCTCCCCTCTCCCTCCCTCCCCCCGCCTTCCCTCAGGGAGGCATCGGAGACCCGCGGCGGCGGCCGGGGCAGGGACGCTGCTTGCACGGCCAGGTGCCCTCCTGCCTTCCTCGCCCGCCTGGCGTGGCGTGGCCCCGGGGCCGGGAGCGGCGGCTGTGGGGCTGTCAGCTCCGGCAGTACCCCCCGTGAGGTGTCTGTGCCCCCGGCCTCTGCCGCCCCTTCGACCCGTCTGTTCTGCCGCCGCTCCGGCGTCCCGCGGGCTGATGCGCCGCCGGTGAAGCGGCGAGCTCGGTGGGGTTTGGCAGAGGTTCTGCGCTTCAGCGTCAGGGTAGTAGCTCGCGCTGCGCCCCGTACTTCCCCGCCCCCGCATTCACATTCATGATTTATTTTGGAGACCTCGTGTTGACAAAGCTCAAGACGATTTTTCTCAACTTTGTCTTTTACTAAACGCGCTTTAAGGTTTAATAGAGAGGTGTGAAAAGTGGATGAGGCTGCCGTGACGGCTGTTAATGCTGTGCGTAGGTGGGAAAGGCATGGTGCTGAGAGGCCTTTAATCGCTCTGATACCTTCACATTTCTGTTGCCTGACCTTTGTCAGTGATGCCGTGTATTGCACGGGCATTTCTTTTTTTTCATACTCCTATGGAGCAGGAAGTGCTGTATTCCATTGCACGGGTTTCTCTTGCAGCAACAACAGCAAGTGCTTTGTAGTGCTTCTCCTAGATGCAGAAACCCCCCACTTTACAATGTATTTTCTTTTATTGTAGCCTTCTGGATTAAGATCCTTGTTTTGTTGTATTGTTTATGTAGATGAGCAAGCGTATATTCTAATAGCAGAGGCATTGATAGTTTTGATTCCTCAACCGTAAGAAGAGGAACTTTTGTTTCTTAGTTGGGATTTTTAACTCCTGAAATGACAAGCATTTTAACAAATGCACATCAAGTGGAGGGGTGGCTTAGAAAAGGCAACAGAAGAAAGTGTGTCATTGCTTTCCGGAGGACAGTGCCCCATATAGCTGAAATACTAGATGTTAGATGAGATCTAGCCTGTAGTATGGTCTCAGGCCCAGAGACTGAGTCTGATGTACTGTCCTGAAGAGGAAGAATTTTTGAAAGTGTATAATAATAGTAGTTTAACAAAATTATCTTTTGAAGGTCTGTTCTCAGTCTACGCAAGTCAGAGCTATTTATATTTATAGGAAATGTCAAATGTAAGATAAACTTAGGATCCCTAAAAAATGGAATGTAGGGGGGTTTTTTTCCAAGCACTTAAGACTGGAATGTCAAGCAAAAACGTTACATATTGGAACATAATTATAAATTCTGGAATCTTTCATTTGAGGTTATGTGTGGTACAGAACTAGCAAAGCCTAAATTGGCCCCATGAGTTTGATGTGCTTAAACTATTAGATTTACTGATATCTTCTATTTTGGGTACACAATTTTACATCTTTCAGTCAGCCTCATATTTCAGGTGAATCCTGGCTAACCACTTCTTAGAAGAACATAACAAGGACTCTATAGCCTTCTATTACATTAGTTCATTTCTGTTATTTTGAAACCAGTGCAATGAAAATGGCAACAAATGTTGATTGAAGAAAGAAGAAACCTTGCTTTCATTAGGAGTTGCCATGACTTTCCGATTGACGTGTTTAAGCCGTAAAATTGAAACAGATCACCAGCCTAGGTCGTTGTTTAGTGCTGAACTATGGACTAGAGTTCTGTTCATTCAGACATGGTTCAGTCACTAACTTTAGGTTTATAATCATCATATGAAATTTATTCTGCATCTGAGGGAAGGAAAGGCTTTTCTGAAATGGCAAAACCCATTCATTTCCTGTTGTTGCAGGATAAAAATCTAACCACTGTGTTTTCAGACATGAACCAAATGTCAAGCTTACATTGTCTTTTATTATGCAAAGCAGTGCAATTTAATTAACTTAGGACATACATTACACACACACTCAGTGTTTATATATTTAGAGAGAGTTTCTGCTCAGACTTATTTGTATTCCCAAAGCATTGCACAATAAAAAAGCCAAGAGACTTAGTACAGGCTCTGTCTCATGTCACTTACACTGCTGTACCTAGGATGACATAAAATGTCATTAAGACAATTCACTGATGTCTGACTGGCTGGCTTCCTTCTCCAGCCTATCACTGGTAGTTTCTACTGTATCTGCTCACATAAATGGGGTGAATGATTCTTAAAGAACATGCAAAATGATGCGAAGTTTTACTGGAAACAGGAGTAAATAATTCCTCTAATGTTTTGCTAAGCAAATTCTACAGTGTTTGGTTTTAAAGAGTAAGAACAATCCAAAAACCTTACATGATGTTCCTATAAAATTACAAGTTCAGGTTTATTTATGATCAGGTTTAAAGGTCATGAGTGTATAATCCAGTGGTTATGGTGGCATGTCATTTTTCCTTTTGCATTCTTTCATGTATGCCTCCTTTAATGGGAGAGTCACAGCTATTAGGATGACACAACACGTTGCCACACCTGGCAAACATTTGAGTTCGCCACTTCTTTCCTCCTCCACTCCCCTTTCCATTTTGTTTTATAAACTAGAACCACAATTAAAGTGATTTATTGTGTTGATGGTGATGTTTGATTATATATTTTTTTAATTCAAGTATCTTGTAAGCATTATATGAAATGATCATATTTGTGAGAAAACCAGCCATCTAATTCAAGATAAATACAAGAATTGCATGTCAAAAGAATGGTCAGCTATGCAGGTTTAATACGTACTCCTCGATTATCATTAAAAGCAGAAAATTACAAAAGTAGCTGAGAAAGACCTCCATGCTTCAAGGGGGAGACAGACCAAAATCTACATCATTTCAAGACAAGTCTTCAACATAGCAAGATCTTCTAATAATAAACCCCCCACAATTCATATGCTGAGCGATCCAGTGCTTTTCATTAATCTCATCAGAAAAGTTTTCCTGATGTCCAGGTTTCTTGGTTTCTTGTGTCAGTCTTTCATTCTTTTCCCGGGACCCATAACTTCCTTCCCTTCCCCTTTGAGGAAACTACAGTTATTTAGCCTAAGGAAGACTAAGAAAGAGAATTTCCAAACAGTTACACTCTTATGATTCTTTCAATTTCTCTCTGGACATTGAATTTAGAGTAAATCCAAAACCAAAGCACAGTCCTCTTGCTAAAACATTACTAGATTTGAAGGGTTTACTTTGTGGGTCTTGCAAGCAATACTCCTGTTTCTGCATCCAAGCTTCCCAAACAGTATTTCAGATGAGGAAAAGCAGATGTAGCCTATGCAGAGTTATAGGTACCTTCTCTGCTCTTCCCCCTCCTGGGTTTTTGTCTTGGTGGAAGCAAGCTATTCGATATCCTTGTGGTGAGAAGTAACGTCGCTTCCAAGTGCAAAAAGGATGCAAGAACACTGAGTCAGCATCTCATTTAAGCTTAAGGGCAAATTATGCCTGAGCAACCTGATTGACTTCTCGTTCAGAGTCAGTCATTTCATCCCCGGGAAGAGCAGTGGATGTCATTTACCTTGACTTAAGCAAGGGTTCTGACATGGTCTCCAGTAACATTCTTCTGGCCAAAATGGAGAGGTACAGACTGCAGCCTGGGTAGTAGAACTGGCTGGATAATTGGGCTTAAAAGGTGCTGATCAGTGTTTTGAAGTCTAATAGGTGGACAGTGATGAGGAAGTTGATTTTGAGGTGGATACTGTTAAGCACCCTCATCAGTGATGCAGACAGTGCAATGGGATGCATAGTCAGCAGGCATTGGGTGACAGCAGCTGAGGAACAGCCTGAGTGACAAGCTGGGGTAAGGACAAAAAAAAAAGACAGATCTTTTCATTCCCTTTAACTGTGGATGGTGAGGGGAGTATCTTAAGATCATGTATCTTAAAAACAACAAGATGATGGTTTTACTGTTTCGGTTTGGCTTGGCTTTAAGTTCCTCAGTCTTTTGATGACAGAATTGACTGTTACTGCAGAGGTGCAGCTCCAAGCACAGCCAGCAGCTGTCTCTGTGCAGGATGGGTGGTATCACAAAGCCACAGCCAGTGTTTTGATCCCACTGCAGAAGAGATGTGTGTAGCTGGCACACTACTGAATACCAGCCATCTTTACCCTTTTCCTTAGGGATGTACCGTGGTGGGTCCAGTAGTTGCCTACAGTTCCAACTTTTTTATAAACTTACTCATCTCCTTTGGTCCTTTCCTTTCTGAAAATGTGTTAACCTGGAGAGAGGCTGACGGGAGGAGTGAGGCTCAGCTGTGGTATCTTTAAGATTCTCTGGCACACGACATGTATCATTTCTGTAAACAGTGTTGGAGGGTTTATAAAACTTTCAGTAATGAAACCTGAAACGATGCTATTTAAGTTTTAAATTCTGTTACATTTAAACACTACTTTGCTAACTTGACATATTAGTATTTTGGCTGTTTTGCTTTTACAGACTCGGTCTTTGCTGGGAGTATTTGAAGAAGATGCTGCTGCAATTTCCAACTACGTCAATCAGTTATTTCAAGCCATGCACAGAATATACGATGCACAGGTAGTGTTCATGGAATTCCTGAATGCTTTATAAAGCTTTTGAACCACATTTCATGTCTCTTGCTTTTTTTAAAACTACTATAAACAATATTTTTTCTATAAACAATATTTTTTTAAAACTATATAGAACTAAATAAACTAAGAATTAAATGATTGTTTTTCTGTACGTTAGGGAGTGGTAAAGATTAAATTCTTGTGATTTCTTTTGCAACGTAATTTCTTATGACAAATGAAAAGATTTTTTTGGTCTTTTAGTAGTTTTATTGTATTTCCTAAGTGTTTCTAAAATGTTTCCCATCGTGACTTTAGTGTGTATAAGAATATGTACCAAGTGCAAGATTATTTTTAACCCACAATATTTCCATGTTTCACTCATCTATAAGTAACTGCATTTTTATGCCAAAGGCAGAATCTATTTTGTATGTTTTTCTGAACATTTGAGTTTATGGCTGTATTTTTTATTTGTATATACTTGAACTGTTCGACTTTTAATGATTTGTCACTCTTGCTTTTCATATTTGTATTTTACTCTTGTTTTTACTTTAATGACTAGTGTATTTAATGTAGTAGTGATATAGTTTTATTTTACTGCCTTTCTATTTGGCTTTTAATTTCTGTACTTTCTCCTTCAACTACATCATGAAAGATGACATTGTTCTGTAGCGTGAATCTGCTAATTAGGTCCTGTCTGTTTGCAAACAGGTAGCACTGAGGTTCATTGTAATCTTTCCTTTACAGATAACGAATTCCTAATATTCAGTAGCTAAGGCAGCTAATTTGAAATAATTAATTGCAACTATGCATTGCATAACATGAAAAATACAGAAATCGGCGCACATAGTACAGGCTGTGAACTTGGTATTTGTAAAGCCTGATTGCCTGTAACTGTCAGTAATGTCAGAAAAATGGAAGGGCAGGGTGCTTAGGTTTTCTGAAAATCTGTAGTCAGATTTTACGTTTTATGTCTGTAATAGTTTCCTCTTCAAATATGTGATTTTTTTTTCATATTAATTTAAATAAAAAGATAACAACCTCATTTTTTTTGTTGTTTGTTTCTTTCTTGTTAAATCAGAATGAATTAAGTGCAGCAACTCATCTGACTTCAAAGCTTCTGAAGGAATATGAGAAACAGGTACTGTGTAAGTCAGTGTTGTCTTTGTGTGGTCAGGACTACGTATTTGTGTAGCCCTATCTCCCAGAGCACAATGTAGAATGTATTTAGGTTTGGCCCAGATAAAATCAATTGCTGTAGTTGGTGGTTCGAATCTTTGCCAAAAGAATCTACTGTCTTCATATTAGCTCTTCCAACTAAAACAGAATGAGGTTTCTCTTACCATGATGAAGTTCTGGAATATTTTACTTTTGGATCAGTGTTTTGGGTACTTGGGGCGGTGGTGAGGGGTTGTTTTTATTTTATCAACCTGTTTATTGTTAAGTGCTTTAATTTTACTAGTCAGAAAGAGAAGAGATTGCATAGCAGTCTCCATTTAACAACCATAATTTACTCTTGTTATGAGAATAATTCCATCTGTAAAAACAGAGATTGTGGAGTCTGTAACTTTTCCTATTGGGAGCCTGTACAATGAAGAGTTTCCTATTTATAGCTGTGCTGCTGGGACCCCTTTTCTGAGCTGCATGTTAAAAACAAAAAGTCACTTCTTTTAAGGAGGCTGGCACTCCCTATCCTCATTCTCCACCTAATGAGGTGAACTGGAAAAGATACTATTTATGAATTAATTTGGTTTGGTGAGTCTTTCTAGAGGGGTGGGGACGAAGCTTTATTTTTCCTTTGCATTAGCACTGTTGCTAACACATAGGTGTAATGCAGATAGGATCAAAACCACAGTGGTGGCGATCCAAAAGAATAGTAAATGTTCATACCTACAGTAGTCCCATTAGGAAGAGATGGAAGTGTTTTTTATTAAAAAAAAACAAGTCTTATATTCCTAATGACAGACTGGAAATGTTGTTTAAGACGTCTGTGCACACTTCAAATTGTAGCAGAAATTAAATTATTTCTGCTTTTTTTTTTTTTCCCCAGAAGTAGCTGCAGTGCTGTCACTAGAATTGGTTTAAAACTGATACAATACCAAATGGACTTGAATGACATGAATGACACAGCTGTTTAATGAATTGCATGGTTTCTGCCATTTTCTAGCAAAATATAGTATTTGCAAAATCCAACTGAAAAGAACTAGCTTCAGATTAGAAGAACTGATTAGGGCATGGTATTCTTATTCATTAGCCATTACGGATATCAAAATATACACCAAATATCCTTATTTTAATTACAGTTTGTTATGGTCATTGAGAAGAAGGAGGGAGTAACCTAACAAGCTGGAAATGCTAAAAAAAATTAACACAGTTGTTCTTTTAATATTTCCAAGTGTTTTATGTAGAGCTGCTGTGAAGTAAAACAAGAATTAAATTAGCATTGGACCTTTTACTCTGATTTGTCTCCTTTGGACTGCTTCTTTCCCAGTCAGGAAATTAGTTTGAAAATACACAAATAATGTTTTAAGTGGATCATTTGTTTTTTCAGTTTTGACCATTTTGGTCATACTTTTGCCTCCATCAAGGCATTGCAATGTAAACTCTTTTGGATGTAAAGTAAACTCTTTTGGATAATTTGCAATTTCACATAATCACATAATTGAAGAGCTAGAAGTTTAAGATAAACATCAAATATTGCTTAATTTTTTTGTGATTTTAAACTATTTGGCAAAGCTGGATAAAATAGATGTTAATTCTACATCTTTCCTGATTATTATTTTTTTTTAATCTATTAATTAGATTGATTTATCAGTCTATTTTGAAAACAGATATCTTTTTTTTTCAAATAGTTTTGTGAATGGCAGAAAACAGTGCAAACAACACGCCTCCTTTTATTTTCTTCCAGCGTTTTCCACTCGGGGGAGATGATGAGGTTATGACTTCCACTCTACAGCAATTTGCAAAAGTGATAGATGAGGCAAGTATTTGTATTTGTGTCACTTACTTTGCTGATGATGTCATGTATGGACACTAACTTGCTTAATTATTCCAGCCTTTTTTAAGATAGGAGGTACAGAAATGGCTTTCATTTGTCAGTAAGGTACACCTAGGAGTATATTGCAGCATATATTTAAAGTTACATAAGCTGAAGATAAAGAATCAATTCAGCAAAATGAAGATACGTTGTTGAGAAAGAATGTAGTTAAACTTAATGTAGATAGAGCCAAAAACCACTACAGAATGGCAGTCAGAAACTGTTTTTCATGAGGGTATTGTCTTGCCTGGTTTCAGATACCTGACTGACAAAGGAACCTCCTGCTCTCTGGATTAGAGATGGACTCTTCAGAAAGACAGCTTAGCACCATTAGGATCTGAATCAGGATTTTTTTCTGTGATCCCTCTCCTTGCTTTTAACACTACTTAAACAGCATTTTGTAAGAAAAACCACATCTGTTCTACCTCTGTAACCTGTGAAAGAGGAGCTGTGATGTAGCTGGAAGGAAACTGAGAAATTTGATTGGTCATCAGAATGTATGAGGCCATCTTCTGATGTGATCCAGTAACTTGGAATAAAGTTGGGAAAGTAGGAACTTTCTCTACTAAACTTTCTCAACTATACTAAGCTCTAAAGGTCTTCTGTAAAAAGCTAGTGATGAGATCAGGGACCTAGAAAAGAATAGCTGCAAAAAAATGAATGTGCAAAACTATGAGTTGTACATGTCATCTTTGAACGTAATGGATCTCAACCTATCATGATTTGATTTAGTCTCAGCACTATTTTCCTAAAATTCCTTCTTTTTCTTGTCTCCTACAGCTCAGCTCATGCCATGCAGTTCTTTCAACTCAGCTTGCAGATGCAATGATGTTTCCTATTACCCAGTTTAAAGAAAGGGATCTGAAAGGTAGAGTGCTTGAACAAATACTGTTTTTATCAACAGCAGCAATAGCAAAAACATAGCATTTAATCTCCATAGCTCTTGTTTCACTAAATAGAATACAACACTTATTTTTCAGCTCTCAAAAGTATGCATCTCCCAATTTTAAAAAAAATGTAAGTTATTTCTATTCATAAGAGTACTGCAGTTGAAGAACTTAACACTATTACTGTTTCAACAAAAGTATTACTGATATAATGGAAGAACTTACCTTCTATTCAAGATGAAAATTTTGCAGTTACTATAAACATTAGAAAATAATAATTTCTGGGATAATTTGCATGGTCAGGAAATATTTGTATATATTGTAAAACCATGACATCAGTATAATGGCTAGACTAAACTCAAAAGGCAAAACTGCCAAAGTTGTAGTACCTATTACATGACTAAGATTTAGTAAGGTGGTTCTGCAGCCCTGCTGGTAATACAGGTGGCTTCTTACATGCAGGCATAAGATGCTTCCACCTTCTGTTTTGTAACAGTTGCATCTTATCCTACCTAGCCTAAATAATATATGACGTGTCTGATTATGATAGATTTTATTTGAGAGGCTAAAGTAAATAGGCTGGTGTAGCAAATGGGTACAAATGTTTTCAGATAAAAATGATAAGAGCTAAACCCAAACCTGGATAAATCTCCTGTTAATATTTACTGAAGAAGCATCCCTGAGGCAATAACAGCAAATTAAACTATCCCACTGGAAGTTTTTAGCCACCAACTGATGTAGTTTTAATGATACCATACTTCTTTATGGACTTCATAGACACTTTCTGTAAAGCTTTCTCATGTTTTTTTGTGTCTTTTCTTTGCCATAAAGTGAACATAGCTCTCTGCTTGTTTATGTTGTAATATGACACAAAACCACAATCAAGATCAGAACAAGTACTAAGTATTGTACTGTTTTCTGTTTCCTGACACAGTGAGACTACATAACCATCTAGAACATGGCTAATTTTAGGTAGGAAGAATCACAATTAATTTGGGGGTTTCCTTTGATCCAGTGATACTTCCCCATCTCCTGTGTTTCTACTTCCCCAGCTCAGACCAGAACTGTAATATATATTATGTTAATGACAACTTACTTAAATTGTGGTATATTGTTTTGTAGAGATACTAACTCTTAAAGAAGTTTTCCAAATTGCAAGCAACGGTAAGTGTAAAATATTTAATGTTATACCTATTAGAAGACAACAGTATTATTGTAGAGATAATTTGCTCAGAAAACTAGGAAAGGTATTTGCACAGCTTAAAGTGACTAATTAAGGTGTAAATTTTTTTCAGTGATACTTGGGCACCCAGCTTTCCTTGGTTCACTTGTAAATCCCTACTTTGTGTACCAAAGTGTTAAAGCAAATTGTATTAGTCTTTTTTACAATACTATAAATATGTATATATAATTAAATAATTTAGAATCATGCTACCAAAAAAAAAGAAAAAGATGCTAGCTCACTTTTTAAAGTCGGGACTAGTTTGATAAACAAATTTTACTCCCCCTAAAATTAGTTTGATAGTTATTTTCCTTATTGTCAGAAGTTACTTTTTTTAGCTAGTTTTACTATATCCTTGTAGAAAACATATTAACATTCATTGCTTTAGAAGCAAGAAAGATTAGATACAGGTTTTACTGACAGAAAGTTGTCTCTACTTACAGAAGGTTTCTGTCTTTGACTACTAGCTGTTTAGGGAAATCTGTAACAATTTGGACATGTTTGCATCTGGTTAGAATTTTTCTTCAGCATTTGTGGCAGTTAAGTAATTTTAAATGATTCTTAAAGACTTTAATATGACAGAACTTTGCATTCAGCTGGCTGTGCAACACAGTGACATAAAAGGTTTTTTGCTCTGTTTCATAAGTCATTAATTTATCAAAATGATCATAAATTCTTTCTTGATTGCTTAGACCATGATGCTGCCATTACCAGATACAGTCGGTTGTCAAAAAGAAGGGAAAATGAAAAGGTTTGTAAAACAAAATACTTAATATTAAGATTTTTAGAGGAGATATAAAATAATTTTTCTATCATATAGATATTTATGATGGAAGACAATGTATGGCAAATTCCACCTGAAGGTTGATAGTTTATGTTTTAGCAGTTTAGACAGTTTATTTCAGAACAGAAAAACAGGTTTCCCCAATACCTGCCTGTCTCGTAACACTGAAAATGCTCTAAGATGAAGGCTGTGTGTGATACGATGTTCAAATTATCTTTGTAAAGTAATAACCACATTTTCCAGGGGAAAAAAGCAAGCTGTATTTGTTTTTCATGTATCTCACATGTATAAGTTAGAGAAGCGGAATTGTAGGGTAAAATATGCAATTGCGGATGAGAAAGGGTAGAACATTACTGTGTTGTTTTTTCCATGCTGGCTATAAAGCTGTGCAGAAGGCATGTGATGAATATCAAGTCTCAAACGTTCCTTTTTTCCTCTCCCTCTGTGTCTCTTTAGATCAAGGCTGAAGTTACAGAAGATGTATATACTTCCAGGAAAAAGCAGCATCAGACTATGATGCATTATTTCTGTGCATTAAATACTCTTCAGTACAAAAAGAAAATTGCTATGCTGGAACCCTTGCTAGGATACATGCAAGCTCAGGTAATTTCAGATTCTGAAAGCTGTAGGTCTGAAGAAGATTTAAAAGTTTTTCGTGAAGGTTGATGTACGGATCCATCACTCCTTTGCAATCCAAGGAAGCAAGCGAAGAAAAAGACATACCCCATCCTCATCCCTGTAGGTGTCAGAGCTGCTGCCATGACCGCTGTCATTAGCAGCACTAATCATTTCCCACTCAGTATATAAATGTGATCATGACATGTCCTCTCTCCCATCAGAGAATCTTTTAGGAAAGTAAGAGTGACAAATATAAAGGTCTAATTCTGCCCCAAAAGCCAGGTGGCTAAATTTAATGTGCTTCCTAAATGTTCATTGCTGGGTACTTTTTTCCACTGGGTCACTAATGGGAGTAGCTGATTAAAACTTTCGTGCCTGCGAGTCCATGTGGAAGCAAACCTTCTTAGAAAGTGATGTGGAGACAGTTAAACTCTTTCCTGTGGCAGCTATTCTGAGGTGAGATAATCATCAAAGTCACATCACTGCTGTTTTCGATCAAGGGTGTGGAAGAAGAACTGGAACGTTAAAAATCATTCTGGCTTGGTTTTGTTTAAATGAGTTCATGATTGGTTTATTTGAGGATGGGGGCAATAGAAAATCAGCAATGAAAAATTTCTTTCGAGAGAATTTGTATTTTCAGAAGTATATTGTCAGTATGGGTTTTTTTTTTTTAAAAAAAAGTCAAACTTACCAGCATTTGGCACTGCCACAGTGTCCTCAATAGAAATTAACTTCTACATACTGTCTGAAAGCTTTCCAAGTCCAAGAACTCCTTTTTGAAACTCTGCAGCTTGTATTTAAGAGCTAAGCTTTAAATGTTTTCTGTAACAAAGTAGATGGTGCAACCTGTTGTTCAGGTGCAGGTTTTTGCTGAATCTAAGAATGGAAAGGGAAGGGCAGTGCCCTGTAGCTTCCTGTGCTGAGATTTCATCTGGCTCATCTTAATTCAGATGTGGCTTGTTTCCTGGACAAATATCGAGTCTTTTTAAGATGCATATTGTCAGTTCCCCTTGGCAGGGTCTACAGTCAGAGGACAAGCCCGCACAGGTGTCCCCTCTCCTGTACCCCCCAAGTAACCCCACCTAGAACACAACAGTTAGCAAACCGGTGGGCTTGAAGAAGTACAGAGAGACCTTGGGATCACTGAAAGACCAAACCTGGCTTCTTTTTCAGGGCAGATTCTGCATATTTGTGTATTTCCTCCAGGTGGCTCTGGGCACAAACTCTTGACACAGTAAAATCCCACCACAATGTCAGCATCAGCCTTCACTTGCAGACAATCCCATGCATTCTGCTCCTTTCATTGAGAGGCTTTGGTGGGAAATGAGGGATGAAAACAGAGTTCTCTGAGAAAATGTAACCTCCTATGGTTTCATCTGTTAATTGTTAATGTGGTTTTATTAATGACTGAATTCTCCCTTTTCCTCCCCCTTTTTTTTTAAAGATAAGTTTTTTTAAAATGGGTTCGGAAAATCTTACTGAGCAATTGGAAGAATTTTTGACCAATATTGGCACAAGTGTACAGAAGTAAGTTATTTTTGTTGACTTTTGGACTATTATCGAGCTAATTATTTTTTCTGTTTCTACTTTATTAGTAAATTATCTTTGTTAATAGCATGTTATTTACCTTAGTGTTCGCAGGGAAATGGAGTGTGAAGGAGAAAACATGCAACAAACCATAGAGGACTTGGAAGTAGCCAGTGACCCGCTGTATTTGCCTGATCCTGATACTACAAAATTTCCTGTTCATAGGAATCTAACACGGAAAGCTGGCTACCTCAATGCAAGAAAGTAAGGCTAACTTGTTACTTCAAAATTCCAGAATATTTCATTTTGGGAAAGGAAAGCTAAAAAAGTGTGCAAAATTTTCTTTTTAAGTTAGCTATGCTGATTTTACCCACCTGAGTAAGTCAGTCACGTAGGAGCAATTCTGTTTCTTTCTTTGGGCTCCTTGAAATAATTAGCATTGTTTTCATTGTTACACTGACATAGTGTCATTCAGATGCAAAGCATAGTTATCCTGATTTTAGTCCAGTTTTGCCTGAATTTTCACATCACAAAGAAAAATTAAAGTTTAAGAATCTGTAATTTCACTGGGTTGTAATTGGAAAACAAGAGGATTGCAGCTATCAGGATTGCTATAAGTATCTGTTAAAGCTTTGGGATTCAAGTTACTAATAAAATGTGAGAAGCTTGAGATATACAAAGCAAAGCAATCTCTATTAAGGGAAATACACTTTGAAAGGCCTTCTCAATTTCACAAGGAAGCCTTTTTTTCCACTGGAGGGAGCTGTTACTACAGTTACTAAAGTCTAGCAGCTGATTTTTATAGTTACTAAAAATAAGTTGTAATACTCAGATTTTTTTTTTCTTTTCTGTAATTTATATAATAAGCTCCAAGGAATTTTAAAAAGATGAAGATTACTTTTACAACAACAGTTAGAGTAACATACTCACTGAATGAGGGATGAGTTTCTGTAGTAGAACACAGTTGCAGCTATAAATATTGAAGAGTATCTGAACAAAACAGGAGGCTGAACTGCAAGTGTTATTGATTTTTGCTTTCAGATTGTTCCTCTTCTGTTACTCGGGGGTGGGGGGGAACCAACAAAAAACAAAAAAACCAAGCAGCTCTAAGCAAAGTTTTGGAAATCTTGTTGAATGGTAGAAAAGACTTGGACAATTGAGGTATCTTAAATGACTAAGCTAATGCTTAACACAAAGTTCTTCAAAACTGAGTCTTAACAATATAGGTGCAGAGTTCAGAATTCTTATAAATTCTGTTGATGATACATACAACTTGAATATACATATTATGTAAAGTAGTACCATAAAAGCAGATCATCCAAACGGAAGTACTTAGGCCTTTTTATTCTAAATTAAGTTTCACATAGTCTAAGAAAGCAACTATTTTATGTGTTCTTTGCCCAGCAATAGGTTTAGAATGAAAAAACAAACAGATAGAGACTAATTTAGCTGTAAAGCTAACCTAAAACGTTATAGGGAAAAAAGGTTTCTTAAGTGCCCAGATGGTTTGTTCCAAGTGATTTTCTTTTTGTTCTAATTCATACAGCTCGGCCAAACTTTTAATCAACTAACTAAGAACTTCTTTTTATCTTTTAGTAAGACAGGGCTGGTATCTTCCAGTTGGGAGAGACAGTTTTACTTCACTCAAGGTGGAAATTTGATGAGCCAGGCAAGAGGGGATGTAGCCGGGGGCCTTGTCATGGATATAGACAATTGTTCTGTAATGGCTGTGGACTGCGAAGACAGACGGTACTGTTTTCAGATAACATCTTTTGATGGTAAAAAGTAAGTATTACATTACTGTTACCTGTAAGTAATACTAGACTCGCTAATTAAGAAAAGGAAGATGGTCTACCTTTGGCCAGATTATAGTTTGATAGATTTTAGGGGTATTTAGAAGCAAAATCTGGGATGTCTTTTGACATCCCTTTGTAATGTCTGGGTTTTGTATTTATCAGCTCTATAACAAAGCTGAGTGATATTTCAGAATAAAATTCCCGTAATTTGTTTATAGTCATGTATTATTGCATTTTGTGAGTGCTTAAGTATTACAAGAGCACAATTAGAATTTCGTTCAATTGGAATGAAAAGTTAGATTGTTTCCTCTCCACCTACCACCCCCCAATTAAATGTTGACTGTGCTCAGCACATACACAGAATCTTCAGCTTTTCTTAATTTGTTGTGCAATGTACAAACATGAAAACAAAATTTCCTGTCTGAACATATTTGTGAAGCATTTTAAATAGACATTTTTTTTTTCCCATTCTTCTCTTTCAGGTCTTCAATCTTACAGGCAGAGAGTAAAAAAGATTATGAAGAGGTAAGCTTATAGGAGGTTTGCATGGAGTGTCTTTCTGTTGCATAGAACTATTTAGAGCAATAGTTGCATTGCTCTTTTTATATTCTTTAGATGCTAAGCAGTGAATTTGTAGCTCATTCCGACTATAATGACCTCATTTGCCCTCAGATGCCTTAATGGAGGAAAGGAATTTATAGTCAGCTTTAACAGCTCAAATTTTGGATTTTCTGGGCTGCAATTGCTGTGCAGCTGTCTTTGCAACAACTCAGGTTGGAACCTTGACAATGAGCTGGGGTTCAGTGGAACAGCATATTTGTCTCCTTCAGAGAAAAGTTGAAAAGCAAGGAGCAGGAGCAGGTGGTTTTCCATAGCATAGGGAGAAAATAGTCTCGCTTACAGATGCAAGAAATGGGCGAATTCCACAAAAGGCAGATGGAATTTTTATAATGTCTTGAGGAACCAAAGTCATCTGCAGTCACAGAATAATGGAGTACAGAGAATCCTGATTTTTTTTTTTTTTAATTCTTTAGAGTCATGATTTAAGATTTGTTTTAGTTTTGATCTTCAGTGTGACTAAAATTTTTTCAAGTACAATCTGATACTGTAAGGTGCTGTATGCAGATATTAGTGAATTTAATGACAAGCTGGGTGTGCAGAATGCTGGTTTGGCTCCCTGAAGTTCAAACAAAGTGGAAAAAGTGTTGAAACTAACTAACTTGGGGATTTAATCAAGTTGGTTAAAAAACTATGAAAAATTAATTTTTTCTCTTTTTTCTCTCTTTTTCAGTGGATATGCACCATAAACAACATATCCAAACAGATATATCTAAGTGAAAATCCTGAGGTAACTGTACTAAAACTTATGATATCAGTAATATGTTATGATGTAGATATGCACAAAACTGAAAAGAGACCACCTGGTTCTATCCAATGATAGATATCCAATGATAGCATAGAATTAAGCTGAGTACTTCCTACATGTCTAATTATAAGCTTTTCATGGGCTGGAAACATAGAATCCACTGTCTCCTTCATCTAAATGCTTATCTAGAAAGTATTAAGATGTGACTTTCACATTTGGTATAACTTCTTGACATCAAGATCTTGTATTTGTATTTTGTATGTGATACTTTGTTACACATTAATGTAACAAATGCTCAGATGGATACATTTAATTTCTGCTAAGGGAACTGACAGTCTTGGGAATTAGATGAGCGTTGTGTATTTCTTCTTCAGGAAAGAGTTATTTGCCTTTTGAAGAGTTAGAAATTGATTATTTGTTTCATGTAGAGAATTTGGGTAAATAAATGAATGTAATTTTTATGGTTTACATTTATATTTATATAGTAAATACATATTGAATCAAACTTACATTGTGATTTTTACTTGCTAGATTAGGGGAATTGGCCTAACAACTGTTATTGAAAATTAAATAATGTAATATTCTCACAAAGGTTTGACTTTATAACTTCTGTCAATTGCATATAAATAAAACTAAAATCTTAAAAGCTTATTTTGACAAAAATGTTTTAAGTTATTTTTCCCCATCCTCTATTGCAGGAAATCGCTGCACGTGTAAATCAGTCGGCTCTGGAGGCTGTTACTCCATCTCCTTCCTTTCAGCAGAGGCATGAGAGCATGCGGCCAACTGTGTAAGTTCATGAACTATAGCTCGTTTGAAGAGCACATCTGTAAAGAGAATCCTGGGTAAGGTTCCAGGAGAAAAAAAAACCAAAACCAACAACAACCAAAGAAACCAACAGAACTTCCTATGTTCAGAATTAAATCTTTGGTAGATTAGCAGAAAATTTCTTGAACTCACCTTTTGAGCGTCGTCAAGCTCCTGTTGGTACAGGTCATGCAGATTTCCAGCTGACGAGACAGATCTGTTGGCTGCATCATCTGTCTGGTTTGTTGTATGAAATCATGAGCTTTTACTTAAGGTGTCCAGCTCCTGGAAGCAGACCTCAGATTGTTTTAACATACATAATCACACGTGAAACATAATACAATCTGTTGTAATTATTAATGCAAGTAGTAATTTACTTAAGTTTGACTAGGAACGTAGACTCCATTCTTGTTTGCTATACCCTGATCTTCAGGTTTTAAGTTTAGTTTTGTTTTATATCCAGGTTTTGGAATATTGTCTTGGTCTCCCATATGGTTTAATTTATTATCAGCCAACCTGAAACTAAGATACCTTCATTTTCATTTCTTGTTTTGTTTCAGACAATCTCGTCCCCCCGCAGCTCGTACCAGCAGCACAGGGTCACTGGGATCTGAATCTGCAGCTTTATCGGCACTTTCCTTGGATTCGCTTGTTGCCCCTGACACTCCGATACAATTTGACATAATTTCTCCAGTTAGTGAGGATCTGCCTGGTCAAGCAAAATCTTCAGGGCAGTCAGGCAGGTAGGAAATGTAAAGAGAAGGAAAAAAAAATCCTAAAGTTAATGTTGTTATTTTAAAAACAAACAAACTCAATTTAGGCTGCAGCTCCAAAACACACATTGCCTTTGCCTTGAGTCACGTCACAAAATTCGCAGTGGCCAGTGAGGCAAATAAATCTTTTTTTAATTGTTAAATAGAGTTGTAAAAAAAAAACAACAAAACAAACGAAGGCTTAACTACACGCACTAGACTTGAGGTGTAGTTTTCTATTTAGCAACAGCTTTTCTTGCTTTAACATCTAATGCTTTTATTCTTGATTTATTTTAATCTTTTGGTTTCACAAAGTATTTTCCTTTCCTATTGCTTGCTCACCCAGCAGCTTGGGTTATTTCCTCTTGGAAACTCAAGAGAAATTTGGTAGCCCTGCCTCCAGGTGATGATGGCAATCGATGACACTCTTCTTAACATGAAAGGTGAGTGAAAATGATCTAGGCTTCTAGAGTAATCTCATCTACAGACAAGATGAAAATGTCTAAGAGCTCTTCCCAAAATATAAAAATATTTTCTCCTACTTGGTTTTTTGTAAACTTCCTGTTCAAAAATAATAATAAAAACCTATAAATCTGCACTGCATTTCTGGAGCTGTATGTACAGAATTCAGATATTAAGAAAACATAATTGCAGATCCAGCTGCTCTTAACAAGAATTTAAAAAGCCAAAAAGCTGAAAACTCATTTTTGTAACTCTAGTCACAATAATGTGTCGTATCCCCCTGCACTCTAGCAAAATATTTGAACTGTCAGTTGCATCTCACAGATACATGAAAGTTAAAACTATATATATTCAACTCTTTTTTGGACAGGTTTTTGTTCTTGTTGTTTGATATAGCAGGATAATCAGTTGGCTAACTGGATTCTTAAGAACATATTGACTTAAAATAGACTTGAACTGTATTCCAGGAAGTGGAAAGGTTAATACTTCAGCTAAATTCATGTCATCAGTTACAGTTCCATTCTAGAAAATCATACTTTAGTAGCAGAAATTATGCAGAGTTGTGCCCAGTATTTTCAGTTACCCATCAATGTCAGTAAATTAGTGCAGTGTTTGTACAGATAGGTAACATGCTGCTTTAGAAGTATTAATTATTTTAAAAAATACCTTCCCTAGCTTCTGATACTGATGACATATATTTAAATATTTTTTTCCTTTTGAGAGATCCTGTGAGATTTTACATTGACTCTTCCAGTCTCATATTAAATAACAAGAAAATTTTGAGCAATAAAAGATGCTAATAGAAAGAATTTCTCTTCAGTGTATTTACACAGGTCAGCATTTAATGGGATGATTCTCAATTGGGTTGATGTTACGTAAACGTAGCAACGCTGTCATGACTTCAGAGTTCAATCTAGAACAATTTCCTTACTTTAAGCTAGACATCACTTAGTTAAAAGATTTCACTGATAAAATAAAACTGGCAGTCAGCAGGACGTGTAACTGAACAAGAGATTGACATATTTTTTTCTCTTAGTTCTGACATTTGCTTTAAGAACGCTAACTATTGAGAGGCGACACCTTCATTCCTGCCCTATAAAACCTAATTTGAAGTTTATTGAACCCTTGATAATAGTTTTTCAGCAACTGGTTAGCCAGAGAGAAAGGATTTTTCCTCTTTAGAAGTTTTAAATAAAATTTCCCCATTCTGCATACTCTTTTCAGCATTGCTTTACTGCTTTTGAAAAATGTAGACTTGGAAGCCTAGAATATTTTCACTTTTCACTGTAACTGACAGCAATTCTGTCTTTGAGAGCCAAAAATAGCCACATTTCTCTTGACCCTCTAGGAGTAAAACCCCAGTGATGTTTACAGAAAGCTGCATTTGAAACAAACCCAGTGACTTCTCTTCAGTAAGTAATTCAGCATCTTGAGACAGCGATGAGAAGCGTGGTGCTTCTGTGGAGTACTGACAGGATGAGCTTTTGGCTGTACTTCCTGAAGCTGTTCTGTGAAATTCTATCCCCTAAAACTATACCTTTTCAAATATTAACAAGGTCTTGATGTTGGCTTAGTTCAGACTTAAAAAAAGTATCATGTGAGCAAAATTCTGTGACAGCAAAAGGACAGTAATAGCTGGTATTTTTCCCATAATTTGAGCCCTCAAATATAGCAATTTCTGTCTAACTCCTGATTAAATTGCTTGTCATTATGATTTATCGTATGTTATTCCTCCAGATTACAAGTCTGTGAAATCATTACATGTTCTCAGTTGATGCAGCATGAGACTACTACGTTGTTCATCAGTGGTTCTTGTAATCTGACTCCTGGTTTAATGTTTTCATTTTTTAATAGACGCACAAATCCTTTTGGTGAATCTGGAGGCTCAAAATCTGAAACAGAAGGTAAAGCAAAAATTTTATTTCAATGCAAAATAAAAAATATAGTTTGAAAATTGTTTTTCTATTTCAATCTGTAGTTTCTCTCTTCTAATTTACACCAGTTTCAGAATGCTTATTCACACTGGCAGTGTGTCAGAGAAGCTGAGCTAATTCAAACTACTGTTTGAAAGTCTCGTTAAAAATATTTCATTACGTCTTTTGTATTTATTAAACCAAATGAAAAGATGTGTGATTTGCTGTTTAGAAATTATACCTCCAATTCATAAGTATGAGCAATCTCTTTCCAAGTTGTTAGAAGTTTGTTTTCCTGACTGCAGTCCATCATTAGTTTTGAATGGAAAACCCAAAATGCGGTTCATTTTTCCCAATGTTTTTCTTTGTCTTAGATTCAATTCTTCATCAGTTATTTATTGTAAGATTTCTTGGCTCTATGGAGGTGAAATCTGATGAAAGTCCAGATGTTGTTTATGAAACGATGCGTCAAATCCTAGCAGCTCGTGCCATCCATAACATTTTCAGGATGACAGAATCACATTTATTAGTCACTTGTGATTGTTTAAAGTAAGTTTGCTTCCTGACTTCTACTGATGTTTATTTACAGAATTATCTTCTTTCACTTTGGTAAAATTTACTTTCTGGTTTGTTTTTGAAAACAAATTTTTAGGTTAATTGATCCACAGACACAAGTTACAAGACTACGAGTAAGTAACTTTACATTTTAAGATAAATACCCAACAATGTAACTCTTCTACTTTAAAAATAACACTATTGATGTTAGCAAAAATCACTGACAGCATGAGATTTTCAGATAAATTTCCACTGAAATTAGGAGACTAATTGATACATTTAAAAATAATAGACAGAAAGACATGAGCAAATCGGGTTTAAGGGAAGTGATTTCAGTAGTTCAAGTAGGTTTTTAAAACTTCCCCCCTCCTCCCTGATTTGATAGGGTAAAATCTTAGGAAAACAGAATATTATTTGATTATAAACAGTAGTTAGTAGAGAGAAAACATTAAGGTTGGAATCAAATTAGTTCTGAAGTCCAAAAGGGTTTGCTTTTGTTTTAGGTTTTTGCTTTTTAATGTATAATTGCATTGAGTGTGTTGCATAGTTTCTGATTTTTGGTTGTGTTTTTTATTAACTCTTCATAAAAAATAAAATAAGTAGAATTCTTCATAGGATATCAAATACGGCCAGCTTAATTCTTCAGTAATAGCAGCCTTTGTTTTTCATGTCAAATCTGATGCCCCCCTCCTTTTCTCTATGCACAGTTTATGCTGTGTCATTAATTTCTTTGGGCCTTCTTTTAAAGAATTTTTTTTTTTTTTTTTTTTGAGACTCTGAATTATTTTCATTTCCATAAAAGGAAATCCTAAGCATGTGAAAATGTCTTGATGTTTCCCATAGTGCTTTTTAATTTCTTCGCCCTTGTAGCTTTAATTTCAAAACTGCCCCAAAACTGTCAGCTTTTGTAGGTGGGACATCAACTGAGTGCGTGTCCAGCGTTCTAAATGTGTACATTTAAGGTCAGGAAAAACTCTTATCCTGTCACTTTATAGCAGTTGTAGTAGGGGCTTTCGGAATTTAAAAACTTATCCTTTGCAAAGTCTTAAAAAGATACATTTGAAATTTCTAAGTCCACCCTCTTTTAGGAGAAAGAATGCAAAATAGTTTTATTATAACAAATAATGAGGATATGTGGTTTGTTTGTTGTGGGATTTTTTTTTTCTTTATTTTTCTTGTGTATGTAATTCAGGAGAGCTGAATTAATTGCAGCGAAGGTTTTGGAACAGTAGTGCCTTTGCCTGGGACCAAACACTGAGAGCTTACAAATGTCATTTGTATGAACGATCTTTCTAAAGTAAAAAAAATGACTGAAAGGCATTGCAAATGTGATCCCCTTTTCTTACACAGGGTATGGGTTTAGAAGTTTCCCTGCCTTTTGAATTACTTAACCTTTGCTTTCTAATCTGCTGTTTGTGTTTTGTAATGACGTGTTTGGTCAGGTTGTAGCTTTTTCTGGTGTAGTTGTGCACTAATGATACTGAAGTAATTAACGTGCAGTATATTGAAACCTCATATAGAAAATATTTGAAACCAGTTTTAATATCTCCATATTTGATCCTTTTTGGCAGTTTCCTTTGCCCAATGTAGTCTTGTATGCTACGCACCAGGAGAATAAGCGCCTTTTTGGATTTGTGCTTAGAACTTCAGGAGGGAGAGTTGAGAGCCGCCAAACTTCCGTCTGCTATATATTTGAATCAAATAACGAAGGGGAAAAGGTATTGGTGATGGTTATATTTGTATCAAGTTTGAACCTGACATGGACTCCAAGATGTTGGATCCATTCAAGCTGTCTAAGGGATTTCTGTGGGAGACCATTCTGTTTATGTACTGAAAAACTGTTTAATCTGACAGTCTTAAGTACCTGCAAGTGCTTTAATATGCTATCTTATCTAGTCTGGGAATCTGGCTTATTTAAAGGCATTTTTATTAGAGTCTTCTTGATTATTTCTAATCTGTTTTGTGTTTAGATTTGTGACTCTGTCGGACTGGCAAAACAGATAGCTTTTCATGCAGAACTGGTAAGAATCTTCTGGGTATAAAGGATCATTGTGAATGGAAGGGAGAGAGTATATTTAAAATGTGCAATAGAATGTATTCTGCAAGATACTTATAGATGCAGTAATGCTGTTGTGTATTTTAAGGGATGGGGTTTCTAGAATTTAAACCTGAGATAAAAAGATTTTGAGCAACGTCTATCATGGAAGAATATTCAAGATAGCATTCGGCATTCCTTTAAAAGAAGAGTAATCAAAACAGTAGTATAATAGTTTTGATCAAACTCATATAAATTGGTAGTGTATCAAACGTCTCAGGCTGATGTTACTTTATTTACATTTTTGCCCTTTAGGATCGAAAAGCATCAGAAAAGCAAAAAGAAATAGATAGAGTCAAAGAGAAACAACAGAAAGAACTGAATAAACAAAAACAAATTGAAAAGGTACACTTCATCATTATTTCTTAATATTTTTTTTCTCTACTTACTTTTGCTTGCAGTTTTGTACTCCAGTGGAATTAATTATTAGAAGTATTTCCTGTGCAGATTTTGTATAATTTTGTATAGTAGCTTTTAAGGAGCGTTCTTCTGAGGCCATAAACACAAAATGTCTTTATAGGAGAACTTAAGAGCAGTGCTTGAAGGAGCACCTGTCCCAGGGCCAAAATAGCTTCATTTGCTGAGGAGGGTTGGGTTACACAGCGAGGGAGGGGCTGCAGGGAGTGGGCTGTAGATGAACGTCCTTGTTCTGACCACCTGTGTTTGATGGATTGTGGGTACAGAGGTGTTAGGCTGTTAGATGTTCTAATAATGCCAGCTACTGAAACAGAAATATTTTGGTGTCCTGTTCAATCTTTTAATTCCATCTTCACAGAAAGTTGTCCACTGATAGTATTAAAATATAGTTTATAAACTATAATAATGGTATCCTGTTTCAATTGTAGATCACTTTAAAGTTAATACTCTTTTTCTGATTTCCCACCTCACCCCTTCTCAACTTAGGACTTGGAGGAGCAAAGCCGGCTGATAGCTGCTTCCAGCAGATCGAACCAGAGCAGTGGTGAAGGGCAATTTGTAGTCCTTAGCAGTAGCCAGTCAGAAGACAGTGATTTAGGAGAAGATGGAAAGAAGAAGAGAGAATCTGAAGCCTAAGGTTGCCTACTTTATTAAAATTGGAATCTTGGATATATCTGGTGAAATGGCACAAGTTCTACAAGAAGTGAAATGTAGGTGGAGGGTCTGTTGTATTATATAAAAGACTTCACAGTATGTAGACCCTATTATGCCTTGATTTTTCTTTCTCAATTAAGTGATTTCCATTTTCATGTCAGTATAATTTCTCTTCTACATACCAGATGAAGCATGGTGATGCTACCATGTTTACTACACAGTTATGTTTTCTCAAGGCTTCTCCGCAGTATGGAAAAACCCGTGGGGTTCTTTACCCCACGTACTTCTCTGTGCAATTGAGTGCTCTAGAAGCAAAACTTTTAAACTCTCATTGGACTTCAGCAGCACACTGAAAGTTGTTTCTTACACTGCACTATGGAGAACACCTTGCTGGAAGTGAAAGTAGATATCCGAATAAGACAGTGCTAAGCTTTACCTAATCTGTTGCACATAACTGTTCTTAGATTTAGGAAGAAAAATCCCTATTAACATCAGTGAAATGTGCAATAGTTCTGGACAGATCTTATTTTTTGTTTCGTATTGCACTGTATAATACTATCTTGATTTTTTTTTTTTGTGAATATAATGCTGAATGACTTCTTTTCAACAGCATAAAAAAATACTGTCAGACCTAGATAAGAGCTGATGAGACACAGTTGCACTTTGCTGCATGAGGAATGTATAAAGCATTCCTTATCAAATGATAAGAATAATGTATATATTCTTGTAGCACAAGTGCCATGTTCTTGGTTTTTCCCCAGTACATGTAATTAAAAGCTGTAAGCCTTTGACTTCACTTCTTACAAAACATGCTTAGAGTTGCAGGAACATCTTGAATTCCATTATTTGAAAAATCTTCTGAATATGTAAATGCCTTGCTCCCAGTACACAATAGTTACTGAAAATGGGTTGAGGCTCCTTAAGTCTTTTTATGGAAATCAATTTTGCAAACAAACTTTACTAGCTCTGTTTACCCTACATCCTAGAGTCAATCCTGTAAAGCATTTTTCAAAGCAGTGTCTGTTTACAGCTTGTAATATGAACTCCGTGTTCCATACCCTGTGTAATATTTATTTTGTATAGTACTAAATGTGCATTCACCTTTTGATCCAGAGAGAAAACTTCTTTGAAGAGAAATATTTATTTTTGCACTAATTACTATAAATACTAAAATCCCATGGAGCAGAAGATGTCTCTCTAATAGTGGCATGAAAATAACAGGAAATGTAGAAAGAATATGCTTATATTCCAAGTTATATTATAACAGTATTTTACAGTTAATTGCAGGGCATTTCTGGTGTTCAGGAATGGAAGTGATTTTCAGAGTATCTCCCCATCAGCTGGTGATGGCCCAGCCCTTCACACCTGGAGTTGCTCAGTGCTGATGGAGTGAGGAATCTCGGCCCTCCCTGCTCGATGGCTGTAGGTGCACAGAGGGATCAGTATCCTCAACTCTCCTCACGCACTGGAGTGGCCCTGTGTTGGCTAAGGACGGCAGTCTCCTCCTGCCCCTTGTGCTGGAGAAGGGAATGTCTATGCAGAAGTTCATTGCATCTGGCTCCTGTCACAGGAGAGAGGGTGGAGCAGCTCATGGGCAGTGCCCAGAGTCTGCTGTGCTGGGGCTGCTCCTGCAGCAGATGTTACTTCCACAGCCCATGGAAAGGCTGGAGCTGCCTTGGGAGGGGTCACAGAACCCCAGCTTTGAAAGAGGTGAGAGGCTGAGCAGCAGAGACCCTCCAGGTTCTCTTCCTGATTGAGTTAGCAACTCCTCTTCTAGTACGGTTTTCATCCCCAGAGTAGCCAGTCACTTGCAGAAATACCTGCTTTTGCTGTTGCCCAGCGAGGCCAAACAGCGTTGCCCTGTGGCCATATTTGGCCAGCACTGTCACATGGACCACACAAATCTGAGGCTTTTTTCTAAAAAAAGAGCGGCATTTTTATTTCATATATAGTCTTTTAAGGTTGAGAGATAAGAATAGAAGACTGGTTTTATTCTTGCCAAAAAAAAAAAGTACAGAGAGGCAGCGAATCCAAAGTTTTTCCTTTTTGTGCCTAAATCCAGGCTTACAGATAGTTGCACTGCAGCCACTTGGTCTGTCTAAACTCTTCCAGTTCATGTTTCTCTTTCTCTTTTTTTTTGTTTTTGTTTTTTCTATCAAGTAATATGACAGCATAGCTCAAAGTTACTTTATCTTACTATATTTTCCTCAAGTACATGCTGAAGATGAAGTAGTTTTGAAACAGCACAGGAAGAATATGAAATCAGTAGTCTCCAGTTTCTAGTTCCCCAGCTTGTAAGAGTAGGATTAAGGTGTTAACCAGTTTAGCTGCAATAGTCCTATGAAATTAGCTCCATATGAAAGACAGTTAATAGATCAGCCATCTCATCAAAAAGCATTTCTGATGTGCAGCCTGTTTTGCTTTCTATTGAAGAAATGTCAGAAAACTGAGTTACTTTTTTTTTTTTTTCTTGAAACCATTACTGTTTTTGACATAAATCTGCAAAGATGAGGAAGAAAGTGGGAGAATAAAGTTGGCAGATAAATTTACTGTCATGTGGGATTTTTCAGATTTAGCAATACATGACTGGAATTATTCCATTTGCTTTTCAGGCTTTCCATCTATGCCATTAACTGTAGTTTTCTCAAACAGACAGCATAGGAGTGAAGTGTTCTGTTTGTGTTGGATGATTCTTGTCTTAACCAATTAAAAAAAAAAAAGGAGGAAATGATTAAAGAGAGTGGTTAAATAAAACAGATCAATATGCATGAATGAAATGAGGGGTTTGGGTTTTTTTGCTTATTTAGGAGAGTTTCACTGGTGTAAAATGAGCAAAAATAGATAAAAGCATCCGGGAGAGGGATGAAAGCTGTGAGAGCAGAGGGCAGGTCAGAAGAGATGAGGGAGTGAAGTGGGACTGGTGCAGAGAGAGAGCAGGGGAGTGAGAATCATGTGAGTTTTGCTTAAGGGGAGGAGCACAGGGCTCTGTAATCAGAACTACCTCAAGGCAAAAAAGAGCTGCTGAGGTTTTATCTGTGGCTTCCTCCCCAAAATAAATAAAAAACCAAAAACTTATTTGGTACCTTTTTTCCTATGGGGTTTAGAACTACTTCACTGGAAAACCTTTTTGTTGGAGTGCTTAGTACTTTCCTTGAGAGTATGACTTTTAATATAAACACCTCATGTTCTCCTGGGAACTACTGCGGTAGGATTTCACCACCTGAGCTTTTTATAATTGTAAGTAAATTACTGGTTGGTTTCCTCTCCTGTAATTTATTTCTCCTGTTTAATTTTTCCTGTTGCCTTTTATTTACAGACTGATCTTTCAAGCACTTCCAGTTGAAGCTGTAGTTTGCTTCATGTGCACCTACTATTATTTCAGAACTCCTAAAAATAATCTTTCAAGTGCATGATTTTAAAGTGACTTTGCGTAGGTACTGAATCAGCACTTTTTCTGTTGCTAATTGCAGCGTCATAGTTACTGCCATTTTTCCTCTTAGCTAAGGGAATATTGAGTTTGTTACACTATATAGATTTACACACTGCAGACCAAGCAAGTTTTCCTGTCGATTGTTGCAAGCTACATACATTCTTTATGTATGTAATGTCATGAATATCAAAATATATAAAGTGTGCTTATAGGTATGCATTTTAGTGCATTGTAGGTGATACCTAGCACTCCTCTATGGCTGCTAATAGACTTCTCCAAGTTTAAATTGGAGGACAAGTTACAAGTAGGCAGTTTAAACTAATTTGAATTTGATAGTCTATTACTTCCTTAATTTGTTTAGGATTGAAATTGTATCAAGACAATTTACTGTCTAACAGCAAAGTAACGATTAAGAGTTAAGGGCCATTAAGGGCCATTCCCCCTCTATGATGCTGTCAGATTCTGTCTTTAGATGGATGTAAGCCCAGAGCTGAAAATCCTGAAACAGCTGAAGCTATTTATGAAGATATAATCTATGTTCATTGATATAAAGAAGCAAATTTGACTGTGCATATATTTAAGGTAAATTCCAATTAATTATTTGCACAGAATTTAGAGGAAGCTGAGAAACTGTGTTATGATACAATCTCTTGTTATTTCAGAAATAACCTGCCTCTGCTTAGTGAATTTAGTAGAGATATAGTCTAGTCTAACAGCGAGAGCTGATATTTTATATTCTTTCTGTTGCTCTATTTTACAAAATTTCTTGCAAGACAAATCATCTCCGAAGCTTTTCTTCTTAACCAAGCAGTAAGTCAATTTGTTTTTTTCCTGCCACAGTGGTATCTAAGTAGTCATGACAAGAATAAGTGAGTGTGTCATTGTGAATGCACTTGTATTCCTAATGAAGTTTATATTGCAAGCCAAGGATTTTGTACAATCTTTCAGGTCATTTTTATAACGGAGTGGAGTGGTCAAATTCTTATGATGATGTTCTGGATTGGTCCTGTTTTAGTGAAGTGTAAGTGATTTTTGCAATGTTTGAGACTGACTTGCACACTTTCCCTGACTAGCTGTATTAAGCCCCACCAATGGCTTCAGCTTTGATTGTTGTGTCTTAATCTTGGAAACATGGATAGTAAACGTATTATGCCAGGGCTTCAATCAGCATTTTGTAGATTAAATAAAAGCCTAACTATAGTAACTTTCTGAGTGGGATTTGTACTGATGCAAAAACCTCCTGTGTTTTTCATAATACTGACTTCCAGGAAGTACCGTTACTGGTGACAGGATGCGTTGCCTTCCACTAGAAGTTCTAACACGCAGTTATATCCCTCTGTTGGCAAAGCGTTTTGCAGTTCTCTTAATTGTAACCATATTAGCCAGATGACCTCAGAGGAAGTTATTGTACTTGGGAATGCTGATAACTTATTTTTGCAACAATCAAAGACTGACCATTAAAAGAAGCAGATCCTTACCATGGTAGCTGGCTGTTTAGTGCCCATGTTGTAGTCCCATGGCAACGTGCAGCGCACTGCAGAGCTGTGGTTATGGTAAGGATCAGAATTCACGTACCAGCACAGCCATTAACATGGGTACTGATACATATCTTCACGGGCTTCGTTAGTCTATTATATGATAAACACCATGTAAAAAGCAATGGATCATAACTACATTATGGTTAAATTTGTATTTTATAAGGTTTGTAGATTTTTCTGGGGAAAAGCAGACTTTTGAATTATGTAACTTCCATGATAAAGATGCATGTATAACTAGAAAAAAAAAAATCTATGCTTAATTGATAATGAAGGAATAAATACTACTAATGCCAAGTGTGTTGATGAACCTTTTTTTCTAAAATATAGACTGATATCTGCAGTATTTTTAGAAAGAACAGGCATACCTAGGGTCTGTGTGTACTGTGTAAGACTTCCTAAGACGACTGACTGCTGACAGGTAGTGCTCCAAAAGTTTTAAGCTCCAACTCCAAAAATAGCAAGTGTGCCTTTGGGCAGCACTGCAAAAGGAAAACCTAGTTCTGGAGAGAGCAAAGTACATGATGGATGAGACATATCAATACCTAAGAATGAGATGCAGAACTAACATGGCTTTCAGAAATAGTGCCTTCTTGTTGAAAGACCGGTATTTCACACTGGCTGCTGTGATAAACAGAGGTTTCTATAGCTGTTAATCCCCTTTCGCTTCTTAGAATGTGGATTGCTTAACTGGGTGGAAAAAATAAATCTACCTGGGCTGCTCTTTAGAACTTCCATGCAGGACTTCACGAACAAAAACTCTACTTCTTGGCAAAAGAAAGGGAGATACAAGAGAAAAAAAGAACTATGTCCCTTCCTGGTGTTAGTTAAAGTCCTGACCTTTAACTGAATCCTGAGTTTACCCCTGCAGGGGGGGAGTGTTATCTGTTATGACAGGCTTTAATGTAGCAAGAACACAAGCTTTGCAGCCCTGTGTTTTACAGTTCCTTAGCTTTTCACACTAAACTCTTCAAATACTATCACCATAATTTTCAGATAGTTTATATTCCAGTAGATGCATAGAATGGGATCACCAATACTTACATTTTGGGGTTCTCCCCATTTTCTTTGGGTGGGGGGGATGATGGTATTCCTTAATGTACATAGGAGATAAAATCCCAAAAGAAAACAAGCTGCTGTGTAAGACAGTCTTATCCACGTCAACATTCCCTTCAAAACATAGAACTAATAGTTATGTACAGCTGAGGTTGTATGTTCCGGTGAAGTTTTCCTGTCCATAAAGATCATATTCCTTGTACAGTATGTAGTCTTTCAAGCAGTTGGGCAGTGGAAGGAAGGTCATGAAGACAGGGCAACGGAGACGTAACCGGCCCATGCATTCCCGTATTTTCAGGCGGCAAAGATGCTTCAGAGAGCGAGGATTTGCTAGAAAGGAGAAGGCAAGACTAATATTAATAAGCTATTTATTTAATTGTGTTCAATGTATTTATTCAATACTCTGCTACCTTTCAAAAGCTTTGTTCGCGATTTTGCTGCATGTTCATTCTGTGAATAGACACATAAAAGGAATGTGGCTCTCCCTGGACTAACCAGACCTGCCAGGATCTAGCCTTTTCATCTCAGCCCTTGCATCTCTCAGTTCTATTTGTAATCATTTCCAGCTAAATTGAAAGATTTTATTTCTGTCAAGTTGGATAAATGTAGGTTAATGCAAGTTTAAGTACTAAAGTTTGGGGAATGTACTTTACTTTAATCCCAAATAACTGGTGCCAGTTTTCTGTCAACCAGAAGAAGTTACTAAAAGTAGAATTTTGAGTCACTGCTCAAAAAGGATATAGAATTAATCTAGACTAGAATTAAATAACTCCATTAAAAACAATGATTTATTAGATTTGTTCTATCAGGTTGAGGCAGGGGGAAAAGCTTTTCTCCCCATGAAGAGGATTGTGTTGTCTACATTGTAATTAAAGTTCCCAAGTGCTCTACATAATTTGTGCAATTACTGTCTTTCAGAGTTTTGAGAGAAACTTAGTTTAAGTCCTGTATAGACTGATTTTTAAGAGGTCTCTTACTGTCAGAAGTAACTTTTGGCCTAAGAAGGGTCAAGAAAAGCACCAGTCTGAGGTAAAGAAAAAGAAAATACCACCACCGAAAAAGGCCCCAAAGAGCTTGTTTGTCATTTCAAATGTGAACATCAGATACTTACTTAAAATGGAATTGATGTCTGGCCAGAGCTCCTGTTCTTTGAGAACAGCTTCTAACTTCCAGCAGATATTAACGTGATCGACATAATCTAACATTACTCTCACCACTTTCCCAGACAGATGCTTCAACCATGACAAGGTTATCACTTCACAGAACTGATAGAAACAAAATGTTTAATAGGATAATATTCAATACTCTGTAAATGACTTCTGCCTCTGCAGCACAAGAGCAATTAACTAGCTTCAGCAGAACGCCAGAAAGAATGTGTGTTCTGTCAGTCAGGGGAGCTTTAGAGGTTGTTACAGCTTGTGTTAAGCCTCACCGGCAGAATCTGAATACCTGAGATGGTTATTTTGTACTAGATCCAAAAATTAACTTAAACAGCTGTATATTTGGTAACTAAGTGCTTAAAAAGAAGCGTTACCACTCCCTAAGTGGAATTTAACCTTGTGTGCCAGCCCAGTGTATGCCACACCCTCTTATCTTCACGTTAAAGAAGGGTTTATTAGGTTCCAGTGGACTTTACAAACTGCAAAACAATGACTCTGATGGGTATCTCTAGGAACCCCTTTAGGTCAGTCCAGGTTTGTTAATGTCTGCTCAGTGCTTATCATGCCAGCTCCAGGGGTCCTTGCAACACCCTTCCAGTGCTGGTGCTATGACACAAGCCAACCCAGCGACCAGCCTGCAAGCCCCTGCTTTTGCAGCATGGACAAGACCGCCGTGGAGAGCCAATTCTGAACAGATCATTAGCACATAATTAGCTGTATTTCCACAATTGAAAAATATTGTTTATGATCATTTGCTGTCATGAACCAGGCCTCATGGCAACCCCTATTTAATTTTAAAGCCTTGTCTACTCCTATCTTTATGTGTAAACTGCTTTACAGTTTCAAAACTGCCTTTTCTGACACTGTATTAAGTACATTTGCATTTAGTTGTAGAAAGGTTACTGGTAGTAAAACAGCATATGAAGCCACCTGATATAAGCCACACTTACCATTGTATCTTTGATCACGGTAGAGGTCCATCCATCAGTCACATACTGGGAATGTGAACTGTTTCCCTGAGGGCAATCAAAGCAGCGGTGCACATCATACCCATAGTTCATCAGCATTCTTAACGTGACTTCATCTTTCAGAGCATACTGTAGAGCTGATGGAAAATGCGTTGTATTCACTCTGCAGAAGTAATTGACATTAGCGCCATGTCGGAGCAGTAGATTCATTAACTCATAGTTGCCCATCCTCAGGGCTATTTGGAGACAGTTGATGGGATCTTGGTTTGGCAGGGCTCCAGCATTCAACAGCAACTGCGTTGAACAGATATCCCCATTGGAAACAGCAAAGTACAACGCTGATTTCCGGTGATCATCGTAGCCTTTGCGAACTCTTTGATCCAGCATGAAATTGGCATCAAACCCAGATTTGAGGAGAAACTCAAGGCACTGAGGATGTGCTCCTGCTGCTGCTGAGTGAACTGGACTTATCCCACTTTCTTTAATGGCATCAAAATTAGTAACTGGAACTAAATTTTTTAGGGCTCTGAAAAATTATAAAAAGCAGAATCTCAGAATCAAACATGCTGGTTCACCTAGCTCAGTCTTTGAATTTCTCTGCGTTGCTGGGCTTCAGAATTCATCATGATTGTATTCAACTGTCTTAATCTACCAACTCAGTACCATGGCATGCTATACCTCTGCATTGGCTTTAATTGCTAACACTTAAACTCCTACCCAGCAATGGATAACGACTTTACACCTACCACATAGATCATGATGAATCTACCAACTCAGTACCATGGCATGCTATACCTCTGCATTGGCTTTAATTGCTAACACTTAAACTCCTACCCAGCAATGGATAACGACTTTACACCTACCACATATAAAATATTATTCTATTATACTATTATTCCTTAACAACCCCATTCCTTGCTAGAGGAATAATGATTCCTTCTCAACAGAAGCTTTTCCTGGCTGTTGAGAGCACAGTGTTATTGCTTAATCTATAGGAATTAGGGAATTAATATAATATAATATGAATAGATACAATATATATTATATAAATACATTAAATTTAAAATACTATTTAATTAATATATATAATAAATAAATTAATATATATAAAATAGTCACATAAGAATTAAGAATTCTCATATTCTTAACCACAATGCAACATTCCTAGTACTGAAGAATTTTCTCACTTACTGTGATTTTAGTATAAATATCTTCCAGTGACCTTCCTGTCTTTAAAGCAGGGAAAACTCTTATGCCCCAAGTCTATTTCATTATTTAGTACGTTTACCTTCCTGTGACGGGGTAGAGATGAGGCATACCCAAAGACAGTAAGGATGTCCCAAGAACCTCAGCATCAGACTGGACACTATTTGTGACAAGTGTGGAAGCACTATAGGAATTAGCATCCTAAGAAGATTTTATCCTGACTGGTCTCTTGCATTCAGACACAGAAAATTCATATTTACATGAATTTACATGAAGGAATCAAAAAAGAATTCCTTCTACAAAACTAAAGATTTTCTGCCTGCTTTGAATAAGACAGAACTAGCAAAATTAGTATCTCTGGTGTCATCATTACTTGATTTTTAAGTATATTAACTCACAGAAAGTGTCCTCTATACGCAGCTCTGTGGATTGGCAAATGACCCGAGTGCTTTGGCACATTGGCATCAGCCCCATATTCTAGTAAAAGACTCAGAGATTCTGGGTTTCCTCCTCCTGCAGCTTCAAATAATACAGAAGCACAATCCTTTGCCTGTGAAAGAACATCCGCACCTGGAAAGAAGCATCAAGGATCAAGAATCAATCAAGGATTTTCACAGTACTCACTATAAATATCCAGCAGTAATTAGTATCTTCAACCCTCCAGTGACACGATATTGTGGATAATATTCTTCACCAAATAAACACCGTGAGCATAAACCATGTCGGATCCTTGATCCTGGGAACAAGAAGGTCCAAATTGCTTTGAATACAATCACACAATAAGATGATGCCAGAACTGGGCAAGTGAGGGCTTTGGTTCTTATTCATACAAATAACTGGGTTTTGGCTTATGTACAACATAGTTCAGTATCAAAACAGTTCATACAATCCAGTTCCAGTGCTGCTGAGCCATCATATAAAATTCTCCACCATAAATGTCTTGTCAGGCCTTCCCTAAGGTGACCTGTCTACGTGAAAAAACAATATTGCATTTAAAAGCAATTACGCCTATTCACTAAAATATTGAAAAACTATTTGAATATTATAAATATGTAGTCTCTTTCAGGCCTTTACTTAACTACGTCACAACAATCCTTCGCTGCAGACAGCATTTAATCGTCTTTAGTAAGGAAAGTTACCTCTGCTGCTATTTCTGAAGGCTTATCTTACAATAACTAGTTTTGACTCAATCACGGAACTTTCGGAAGGCTAATAAAAATGTGTATAAATAGGCTAACTACTTTAGATAGAATGAATATGTCTGTGTACACGTCTTCTTTACACCATCCCATCAGATGCTTACAGCACTGGCAAGAAAGACCCGCCCACCCCAAACCTTCCCTTCCTATAACATTCCATATAATAAACTCACCTTTTTGCAGTAAGAGCTCCATAATTTCTGTATGCCCAGCCTGTGCAGCCAGTGCTAGAGGTGTGAGCCCATACCCACTGCGAGGGTCAGGATCTGCTCCAGAACGAAGGAGAAGCTTCACCAGGCTCTTCCTGCCTAGTTTGGCTGCCTCATGTAAAGCAGTCCTCTTGTGGACACACTGCAAATTCACTTTTGCACCAGAACTTATCAACAAGGAGGCAATCTCATATGAATCATGTTTAGTTGCTGTAAGACAATAAGTGAAGTATCAGCCAGAATGTTATTCACTGCTATTCTAGGCACTATGGCTTCTGTTATGTGGCAGCCCAGGAAAGCTTGACCTGTTCCTGGCAGTGCTATTTATACACTGAGAAATGTCACACTACACTGAAAGGTTTGACTTATCAACAAGTCTGTTCTTTGTCTCCAGGATAATGTTAACTATACAAATCAGTAATTTTATGGTAATCTCTTTCTCTCTGTAAACCTGTGTTGTTTGGTAATGCAACAGACCGCAACTTTCCTTGCCACTAGATGGAGATCATATATAGGGACTTTCAATGGTCCAGAGCTGGCCTGCTCAGAGTGCAATTTAATCTTCATAAGCAGTTATCATAATATTAAACGAAGTTTAAAATGACTGTGTCATATATCTTCTTAGCTTAATAGGCCTGATCGGTTAAGTCAGTGAGGATCTTAAAAGAGTAATTTGCATTGGCTCCAGTGAGGAATGAGTAGGCAACACCTTTCCCTCCTCTCTTTGATCTTCCAGGCTGTGTGGGGTAGAACAGTGAGTGCCCTTCACAGAGGCAGATTAGGCAGAGAAGCTTCATATGCCACAGCTGCTTGAAATACCATTGGCAGCACACTGCAACCTGTGACGTCCCGTTATCTGTAGCCTACATGGCTGCTTTAGATAAATCCCTTACATCCCCTTCTTGGGGGATGGTGGAATTTAATACAGTGCACTTCAAAAATGTCTAGGAATTCTTTGCACCTTTATTAAGCAGGGGCCCCTGACTAGAAGCTTTAGTTATTCAAAGGTATGGATTGAGGATCCTACAGATAGGTAGACTTTTTCCTCTTCCTTTAACAATAATTTGGAAAAAAACACCCTTCCATACCAAAAAACTCACAGGTTTGCCAATAAACTTCCTGTGCTCCTTTAGAACCCAGATAATGAGAACACACTTTCCTTTTTTTGGCTAGGACTCAGTAAGAATGATAGCATCATAGCCCAAACTGGGGGAAGCAAATGAAACGAACATAGAACATTTTTGATAAAATTAGCAAAATTAGGACTAGTTCTTTACAAATCAAGAATTACAGTTATTGTGCATGATTAAATTAAAATGGCATTCATGCTAAGATTGATACTAGGATGGGACCTTCTTCAATCAAAAAAATTAAAAGATAAATGAACCCAGAATTTAGGCCTGGCTCACTTCTTCCCTTGTCATATTTGGATTAATTCCAACAATGTCTGAACAGGGACAAACACTGTCTTATGCTCTAAAGCATAATGTACGTAAATAATGCAGATAAATCAGGCTGGTTTTCTACAGTTTTTGAAAATTAAAACCCATTAAGATGGTTTTTGGAGAAAGAGAAGCTGATGCTATGAAGGAGATACCATGTAAGCAGAGAATATGAACGTTTTATGCCTGTAGACACGAAAAACAGTAATAGCATGAAGAAGCAGGAGGACTTGGTTACCTGGCACCACTGCACAAATGATGCCAAATAAAGCAGAGGAAGACACTCGGGCACTTCATGGACAAAGCTATTTGAATCTTTGAGGAAAAAGATGTATGTTCAACCTGAGCTTCAAACTCTTTGCAACTGAGGGATGGAAAATGATAAGCATCCGGAGACCCCTACATTGGATCAGACTCTGGGGAAAGATTTTTAGTTTCTCCTAGTTCTGTGTTTCCCATACTTCAGTAGAGCAGGATAATACTTTAATTAATAAATAATACTTTAATTAATAAATAATGCTAAGAACTTTATGGCAACAGTCCCTAACTTGGAATTGTCAGCTGATTTAAAGCCTTGGTATCATCTAAACAGGGGCAGACACATTCAATACTGAGATTAATGGTTTTTTGTCTCTTTACAGCAAAATATTTTAGATATTGATTTGAAGTCAAATATGTGAAACTGAAACATAAAATGTGTAACTATAACCTCACCTCACTCCCTCACCTCTCCACCCCTAAATAAGGTATTCACCTATAACTAAAGGAGAATCTCCCTCTTCATTCTTAACATTGGGATCACAGCCATTGAGCAGGAGAACGCGGACGTTGTCTACAAAGCAATTTCTTACTGCCACCAAGAGAGGTGTTTCCCCTTTTAGAGTGGTCTGTTCCCACGTAACAGCACGGGAGGCTGAAACACAGAAAAGCAGAACACGTTTGAAGCTGGATCATTCATCAAACCTGAATTTGTAAAACTTTTTGGTGGAAAACCACAAGGATTCCGTACCTTTCAAAGTTATTTCAAGGATGTTCGTATTTAGCTGTGCTGCAGCTTCGTGCACAGGAAGCCAGCCTTGCTGATCCACTTCTTCAAAAGCAGAACTGTGCTTCACCAACTTCATCAAGGCCTCTTCTTGGCCTGCGATATTTTAAGACAGACATATATCCCATTACTCATAATAAAAGAAAATTCAGGCAACGAACATACTGAGTGTCATTTATCCCATTACCATATCTAGAAAAACAACTTTATCAGAGCAATTTTTTTTCAGAGGGTGGTTTACATGAATGGAATATATGACTGACATTGACTCACAAAGCATTTTGAATTATACACTGAAAATACTTATAATTAATATGACTAATTATTTCAAATATAATTCTCTTTTATGAGCAATAGTGCATAAAAGTTTAATGTATGAAGTAAATAGGTGTCATAGTGAAACTGTTGGAAAAATATTTAGTTTGGGAAAAGTAAAACGAAGCCAATTTAACAGGATGAGAGCTATCTTGTTATTCCCACTTTTACTAACAATCTTACTGGAACTTTAATCAACATAGCTGATTATGTTTGCAATTTTATATCTCATCAAGAAACAGCAAAACTTCCTTGGCTGGAAAGCCTGTTTAAGTAGAGGCCTAGTTTCTGCTCATATTTTTTATCCCATCATTCCTGGGAGAAGGCAGTCTGCCCTCCTGTTACCTGCAACTATAGGGTGAGGGAACAGACCTCTTATCTCTGCTGCTGAAGTTCTCCTACATATGGAAGAATTATATATTCATAAAGCCAGAAAGCAAGTCTAATTATGGTTTAGGCACATTCTTCATAGTGTATGGGACAAAAGACTTGGTTTCTTGATTCCTACTCCAGTCCACTAAATATCTGTACTTACTATGACATGTATAAAGACTGGACTGCAAGCATCCCCACTGCCAGACAACTGTCCTAATAACTTTACTAATTATGTTTATAGTTTACTTATTTCAGTGACTCAATATATAAATTGATCACACCTCAAAATGTAGAAGTTTCAGGAGCGCAGACTAAGAGCATCTCGTAGAGAAATACACTAAATTTTGGCAGTTAAGGAACAATTCTGGAACACTCTTCAGGTAGAGAAGGGATTTTCATCTGGGTATCTCGGAGAAATGCTTTTAGGAAGTATTAACTGACTGAGGGCTTGCCATCTTGTTGTTTATTTTACAAGAAAGGTTCTGGATTTGTCCCCTAATTCCAGGGGATGAAGCAAGGGAATATGAGAAGAGTGACATTTGAACCCACTCTATTACTATGTTCCTATCTAATAAGTTAGCTTTTGGGTGTGCTGTTTTCAGTTGCCTTATTCCTCCCAAGACCGTATGAAGAAAAAATGCACTTAAATCAGGTGACCAAACACCTAAAATGTAGGCATTGCTCAACAATAAAATATCCAAGGGATTCCTAGGAGTATAGGATTGGTGCAGTGTATTTGTACTTAACTGTCCGAATTGCTGCAATTATCTTTTCATGTTCTTCACTTGCAAAATACTGGAAACTGCAGAAACAGAACAAAAGTAAAATGAGAAGTAAAAATTAATGTGAATGTAATCAATTAAGTTATACCTTAATTTAAATACTCAAGCCTAGACTACATGTTAGATTTCCATAAGTTACGTAAATTTTGTCAGGGTTTAACACATTAAAACATTTTTTTTGTTGGTCTTCCCCTGCTACTATAAATATTGGCTTTTTTACACAAAGCCTAATAATTAAATACTAAAATGAGTGAAAGCTACCATATCAATCTACTTTACATCACATATTTATCTTCTTCATCAAGCCTCGTACTCGTTTAGATGTTGATGTAAGACGTCACCTGAAAGTTTCATACATTCAATATTTTCAAGGAAATGAGTATACTTTTTCAGGGAGAACTCAGAACAAGTGAGCTACCAGTGGTTCCCAGTATCTATGAGACAAGGTCAGACCATTCCAACACACAGAGTGACAAAGGAAAATAAGGTTACTACATCCTTATAATAATGCCAAGTAAACACCCAAAATAGAAGTAATAGCTTATTACCTTTCATCCTCTGTCACACTGCCACTTGTTTCAATTTTATGCCTATCTTGTAAGCTTTCCTGAATAGCGTGTTGTGTAGGGATTTCATCATCAGAATCATCATCAAACATGTATGTAGAATTATACATGCCAAATCAGCACAACTTGGATCACCTTTTGTAGGGAAACACTGTTTTTTAATTGGAAGCAGATGTTAAATCTTCAGGTTAAATCTGGAGTAATAGAAATAGCAATCACTATTTAAGTATCAAGAGAAATGAAACACAGTTTAAAATAAATGAATCGGAACTTCATCTCAAGCTGCAGCCTTCTCCCAAATATTTAAGTTTGCACTGCAAAAAGTTATTCTGTTTAGAACAGAGTAAAAGTTTTCTATTCCAATAGCACATGCTAGCTTTTATCTCTGTTCCACAGACTGAACATACAGAATAGCTACTCGTTCTGGCATTACTTATTAGAAAGCAACAAAAATAAGTAAAACTTAAGTTTTCAGATAAATAGTTATCCCCTCTTCAGCCTTTTAGACACTCAAATATCATCATGCTCCGATGTTTCCTTAGTAGGAAAACAGATGCACAATAAGATTTGGCATGTTTTTTCAGTCTGTTCACAGAGTGCCTGGAAGTGAAGGGCAAGTGAAGGACATGAATTCTTTTAATAACAGCTTTTGTTCAAACCGTTTCAACAAGATATCATTCGGGCTTTATCTCATAGTCAAAAAAGTACTGTAGATTTGTGCTATTATGTGTATCAGCCTGCCACCTGAAACATCAAACTCCATGCTTAAAAAAAGACCAGCTTTACCACCTCATGTACATAATCTACAGCCATTTAGAACCAATAAACTTAGAATTCTGCATTCTTCATCAATGCATGCCTGTTTTTTTTTCTAATACTTGTAAGGCATATTTATATATGAAAAATACTGCAACAATATATAAGCAGATACAGGTAGAAATAAAACACACGGGTGTAACCACAATGGAGTTAAAAAAAACAACCAGAGTTAAGAATTGCATTAGTTTAAAAAAACTTTGTCAAATTGAAAGGGTTCAATTAAAAATATTTTTACCCTTTTAAAATTGTAATACAACCAATGGAGCATAGTAATAAAACCCATTGACACTATTTGTTAACTCTAAATGTTAAAATTTAAGACAAAATCATAAAAAATTATAAATTATCAAATAAATCATTAAATAGTATAATGTGTGTAGATGTACACTGTTACATGCATAAGCAGTCACACTGTTCTTTGGTATATTCAGCTACATGCTATTATAGACTAAAATCACAGATGTTCTGTTAGGCTCAGAACTCTTGTGTTTTACCTTATCAAAACTTCCACTTCTGTCTTTCAAGAGAGTTGGCCCAAAAAACCAACCAAAAATACAGGGCAAAGTAAAATAAAATAAGTAAAACTGAAAGCAAATAAATATACTATTAAAATGAATGAGCACAGCAAAATGAAGGGAGCTGTAAACATGCTACTTAAAAAGTTTGGAATAATTACAGAAGCATCTTAAAGTTAAGCAGCAGTAATTCATAACAAACCTGCGTCATTTAATTTGTTACCTGATCCACCTAATGTGTGATTGCAAGGTCTTGCTCTGTAATTGCACATGTAGCAAAAAAGAGAAATATGTTAACAAAACATACAGACAAGTAACTATATTTCATTATACCCATAGTACGATGAGTATATAAACATTTCAAATCTAGATTATTTCTTTCTTGTAAAATGATTACTAATTTTCTATGAATTGAGAAAATACATTGGTTTTCCTCACCTTCTGAAAGAGGGAAGACATCACACTTTGAAGAAGTGATTCTTAAGTTGAAAGTGATATTTTCAGGACTGAAAATGATCTCTGTAGAGCCTATGTCCATTAATAGCTCACTATAAATACCCGATCATAAGATACTCTGGGACTTTCTCCATGTTTCTTTCATATAGGTTAGTTATGCTTAATAATCTGACCTGACAAATGGTGTCAGCAAAAGAAAGAATTAAAAGTCCAGTTTCCTTGTAAAAATACTCATTAAAAGTTTTTGGAATGAGAATTTAAGAACTATAAGTAGTAACTATTACATTATGGAAAGAAAATTCATTAGTGCTTTCCTAAGAGAGTAAACAGAAGATACCATTAGGAGCTTACTTAAAAGAGTAAGACAGTGTAAAAAGAAAAACTAAAAATAATAAAAGTAAATAAGCAAATAAAATCAAGCAAGAACTCCATTAAAACTTACTATGTGTTTCTAATGGTTTAATCACAATTCACACATTAATATAAATAGAAAAAAAACCCAACAAAAAAAGACAAACATATAGAGCCATTAAAGGGTAAAGCACAGTTTCAGAAAGATAGACCTACACTGAAAACTTCTGCCAGTGTAACATATGATAAGCAGGGAAAGGAAGGTCATCGATGCCTGGTTATAATAGCAACAGTAGGATGGAGTGAGACTTTCGTGTGCTTAATTTACTACTACTGTATTTTATGGAGGGATGCTTACAAAGAAAGGATGATGGCTGTGTCAATGCAAGGCAGAAACAGTTCTTTGCTAGAGGAGATCTAGGAAGAATGCTTGAGTAATTTTTTTTTTTTTTTTTATAGAAAGAAAAGCACAGAATCGGTGAAGGAATTGAAACTGGACTACTCCTCTGGACTAATAATGAAAAAGATAACATTTTACAGCAGGTAGTCATAAGGGAGATTTTATAATTTATTCTTCACAGAAACTATTTGGAAAAAAATCCTTAAAACAATCAGAATATCTGAATTAGGTCCTGAAAAGATGAATTTGCTGAGCAGGAAGGCATCAGAAATACTTACTATAGAAAGTTAAATGATTTCTTGTGCCACAGTCTTCACTGTTGCTTTGACAGAACATAGGCTAAATCTATAAATCCCAGAATGAAACCCCCAAATTTACTACCTACTAGCTTTGCACTCATAGGATTCAGCACTCTTAATGCTTCAAGTTTATCAACTATAAGATTTCTCTCAAAGTGCAGTCTATTTCCATTTTCCATTAATATATAATTTCTGATATTCAAGTAATGACTAAAATTGATGTTTACATATTAATAATATTACCATAGTCTAAAATCCTAACAGTATATTTTATAGATTGTAAAGATGCTAATAAAATACATATGTAAGACACAATATTGAGGATCAGAAAACACTTGCATGCCTCTCTTAATATAAAAAATTCAGATGTTTCTTTTACACAGTATGTGCCGCTTCCTCTGTGAGCCAACAAAAAGAACAAGATCTTGTGAAGTTTGTTTCTGAACTGTCCGAAGTCAGTCATCCAGCTGGCAGAGCAACGCAACACCTCGCTTGATCCAGTGTTGAACTGGTTTATCCGTGTTCAGCGTCAAAGCAATGACAAAGTTAGTGGAATGTCCAGTAGTAGATAAGACTCCTTTACGCTCGCTTGTCTTGTAGAGTGGGCAAACATATGCATTAGATTTCTTTATGTCCGATTTTGCAGCTTCAAAAAAACCCAAAAATAATATATTACATTCAGCAGATCTGAATAAAAATCTACACTCATCTATTAAGTCTTTGCAGGAATAGTTTTCAAGGTAAACAAAAATGCAAACTTATTTTGTAACATAATAAAATTATCTGGCTTTTTTGGTGTGTTTTCTTCTGTGGATTCTTTTGTTTTCAAACCCAAATAATTTAACTACAATTTGTTTCCAATTCAATGCCTTTCTGTGAGTCCATCAGCTTTGTAATCATTCAAGGACAGGTTAAAATCTGAATAGTTACATAGTTAAAGCATAGTTTATACAGGGGTATTTACCAGCTCCTCAAGAATTCTGGTCCCGTAACCACAGAACCTAACTGCAATTCAAGCCACCTGCGACCCAAGCACGCAACTCTGCAGCAACTCTTCATACGCCTATGCTGCTTACATGCACAGTCTAAAATCATGCATGTCTGAACAGATTCATCCAACCTCAAGAACAAACACAGGCAGAAAAATTGGAAACTTTGTAAAACTGCCTATTAGGCAATACCATCTAAGTTGCAACAGTTGCTATTGAAAGTCCTGCTTCAGTGAATAAATTAAAACACGGATTTACTGCTCCTGATCAAAGAAAGAAAGAAAGAACTATGGAAAATATCTTAATAGTACAACAGATGACTAACATAGCACCTAAAAATAACCTGAGCAAACCTTGCTAAATCATGTGAGGTAAATCATGTCTCTGTAAATCAATTAAAAGTTCTCTTCAACTTGAGTAGAACTAGGAAGTCAAGTATCATGTGCTTTCCTCCCCAAATTAACTTCTAGTTGAAAATTAGATGGGGTAGCACCTAGACATATTTATAAAAAATTGTTTAACTAGTCCTTTTGTCTAATCCATAATTATAAACATCTGTGGAGAGAGGGAGAAGCTTATTGCTCAGATGAGATGAGACTTAGTCAATCCAGCAGGCCCAATTTTTTATGTAGAGGTCATAGGTCAGATGCACGAGAATTGTGGTCAAATTTGCATACTCTGGTGAGGATAAGGAGACTTGAATTTCTATAGAAAAAGAATTCACTGTTGCAATTTCTTGATGAATAGTTCACACTTCAAAGAAATTATACTCACTTGGCTTTATCCAAATGATTGGCATCGTATCAAAGAGCATTTTGGGATACTGCTCAGCTAATATTCCCCTGGTGAGAGAAAGCAACAAAGAAATTATTTGTGGCTTGGTGTTAAAACAAAAACGGCTTTTAGGTTGTTGCTTGCTTGGGGTTTTTAAATTTTCTTTCCCATTTTCCATGCATGAAAGGGTATTTCATTTGGTGCATAATTTCAATAATATGAAAATATTTAAACAAATCTTGTTTGAGCACCTAAGAAAGCTTTCCTGAATTACAGTAAAACACTTTGTTACTGACTTGGTCCTGTCCCAGCGAGCTCCATCTAAAAATAATCCTCGGATATAAACACCATCTTCTGGTGCTGTATCAGCAGTATCCTGAGGAATAACCTACAAGAAATAAGTGTTCCACGTTATTAAACTTTTGCAGCTGTTTGCTTTTTGAGGTATTATGCCAACAGCCAATTTTCAGAAGATCAATCCAAAATGAGAATACAGTGATAACTTCTTTTCAGTACTACTTTTATACAAACCCATAAAGATAGTAGATTTCTGTGGGTTTTTACATTACCTTTATTGTAGGTTATAAAAGGCTTTAATCACACAGACAAATATGTACTCTATAGACTGTTATATAGACTATATGTACTCTATAGACTGTTTTCCAATGACAGAACTACTTTTAATACACCTCTTTCACAGATGTTATTTAACGTGCCAGCTTTACCAAAGAATGAAATCTATGTGTTCAAATTGCAGTGAGTTATTCGCAAAATGAACCTTCCAGTCAGGATTTACTTACTACATTTTAGCACAACATCAGGACTCAGATTAATAAAATATGCATTTATAATTTATCTCTACCTGAAATTCATATCCGAGAAGGTCAATAGGGATCCTGTGCTTCCTGGCATAGTTTTGCATAGCTCCAGTTAAGAAAGCTTGAGTGAAAAAGAACCCCGACAGCCAAAAAACCGTGGGCTTCCCTAATTCATACCAATCCTGGAAAGAGGAAGGTAACACATTCAGTAATCACAAAGAGACAAATCCCATATTGTTTGACCATTTTCTACATAACTATACTCAGAAAATCTAAGTGAAGTCTACTACTCCCTTCCCAATACTCCTTTAATGTAAAAGGCAAATTATATGAAAAAGCAGATTAAATAATTGGTCATATAGTCTCTTGTACGTTACCTGTAAAAATTTCAGCCTCTCTAGAAAATCTAGAATATAGCTCCCTAATGGTTTTAGACTTGGGTATGAACGTTTCGCCCAGTTCTCAGGAACTTTTCCAATAAGTAGGCTGCCACACAGAGCCTCCAGTTCAGCATCCATAACAACCAGTCCTTTAATGGCTTTCTTCAGGTTGATTAGTGTAACACGAATAGTTCGGATTAAACTAGAATTAAGAAATAAAACAAAACTTTCACACATCTTGCATGATTTGTACAACACAATATGCTCACTGGTAAAAAAGACCAAATTGGATTATGGAACCATCTATAGGACTTGTATAGCTCCTATCTAACTGCGTAATTAGCCATGTGCATAAAGTCATGGGTTTATGCATTTGTGCTGTTTTATTTAAGACTAGGAACAGTTTAATAAATTATTTTGTTATCTCTGATACACTCTTGTATTGTTTGGTAAGAGGATACATTTGGAACACCAAATGTTTACACCATTTACTAGATGAAGGAAAAAGGTTTAGATTACAAAAGAAGAGGTGGGTAGGATCTGCAACAAAGGAAAACTTGGAGACCACAGGCCAAAGAGCATTACTGAAAGTTTGGGAGAAAATTAAGTGGGAGACATGAAAAGACAAATAGAAAAGAAGGAGGACAGAGAAAAACAGGGAAGAAAGAATGGAGGAGCAGGCAAAGATACAAAAGAAAGTTAGGAAACAAAGTGACAAGACAGTCTGTGGATCCAAAAAGAAAAATAGAAGCAATTATAGGTTTGTAATCCTAGGAGAATAATTGTGAAAATAAGGTATAGGAAGAAAGGCATCAGGAAAGGAATACAAAAGGAAAAAAATCAAACAGAAGCATATGAGACAATAAAGAAATCAGCAGAAACACTGCCAACTATCAAGGAAAAGGTTTCATTAACTATAACTCTGCGTGTATTACAGTTCCTAACCCCTTTACCCGACAGGTCAGAAATATGAAGAAAATAAAATATAATCAAAGATAAAGACGGTGAAACTGAAGTTAAAAACCAAAAAGGAACATAAAAAAACTGTTCACATT